TAAATGCTCCCTCTGGAAAAAACAAAAACAAAATCATGTCCCAACTTAGGCATTCTGTTTTCTTTTTAGTTGCTAAAATGGCCATTTGCATGAATCAAATCAGATTTGTGTGTGTGATAAGCAAAGAAATGGCTCATTAAACCAAGGAAGAAGAAGGCAGACATCAAAAGTACCAGACCATGAAAAACACGGAGCTTTCATTAAGAGGAAAAAAATAGAGAGGGAGAGAAATGTTTTTCTCACGATGGATAAATATATTCCTTTAGTCTACTGTGTCAGTTGGAAACCCAGCCTTAAGATCATAAATATTAGTTAAAGATAAACAAGGCAAATTTAGTGTTTAAGGAAATTAATTTCAGTATAGAACAATTAAAATCAGTTGCCCTGATGATTATATATTAGTCTTTGGGGTTTGAATGCCGTGTCCACTAAAAGGAGCTCGTATAGACTAGAATTCATGCTCACTTCCCATGCTGTACAGGTAGTCCTCAACTTATAACCATTTTTGGGACGTTACTACAGTTACTACAGTGCTGAAAAAAGTGGCTTGTGTGACTTTTCACACTTATGACCATTACAGCATCTCCTTTCAAGTATTTTCTCATTAGTTTATCAAAATATAAAATACATAAATGCCAAGAAAAATGAAAATGATGGGAAAATATGGGAGGAAAAAGGGGAAGAGGAAAAAGTGTAAAAGGGAAAAGAAACAAAAGAAAAGCATTGACTTCCAACTCCCTTTGACACAGTAGAATAAGGTAATAACATACAATCAAAACTTTTTACTTTTACATAATAATATATACTAGCCATTTCTATAACAAGATGACCGTTACAGCATCTCCACGGACTGGACCGTAAGTCTTCCCCTGAAGTTTAGCAATCTCCTTACCCCACCACCGCTATTATCACTTCCAGAGGTAATTTGGGGCACCTCCACTGCTTAAACCTATGTTACAACCAGCGGCCCAGAATGAGTAGCGCTCTCTCTCTCTCTCTCCCTCTCTCCCTCTCTCCCTTCCTCCCTCTCTCTCTCTCTCTCTCTCTCTTTCTCCCTTCCTCCCTCTTTCCCACTCCCTCCCTCCCTCTCCCTCTCTCTCCCTCACCCCCTCCCTCCCTTTCCCTCCCCCCTCTTTCCCACTCCCTCCCTCCCTTTCCCCCCCTCTCTCTGTCCCTCTCTCTCTCTGTCCCTCTCTCTCTCTCTCTCCCTTCCTCCCTCCCTTTCCCTCCCTCCCTCCCTTTCTCTCCCCCCTTTCCCACTCCCTCCCTCTCCTCCCTCTCCTCCCTCTCTCCCTCTCTCCCTTCCTCCCTCTCTCCCTTTCCCTCCCTTTCCCTCCCCCTCTTTCCCACTCCCTCCCTCCCTCTCCCCTCTCTCTCCCTCTCTCCCTCCCTCTCCCTCTCTCTCCCTCACCCGCTCCCTCCCTCCCTCCCTCCCTCTGTCTCGTTGAGAGATGTAGCTCTCTAACCCTGCAGAAGATGCAGAATTGCATTGCACCCGCAAGATCAGAGGACCACAAGGAAGTGAGCCACCCACAAGCCATCCACACCTTTCAGTGGACCCGATGTAGAGGGAGGGAGGGAGGAGGCATAGATTTATTCATGTGTTTTGGGGGTGTTAAAAGGAAGATGGGGAAGCAAACTTTTTTTTTTTTTTTGCAGTAAAATAGCGGCAGGGCCTGGATCCCACATTCACAACAGCCACGTTGGCTTTTCTGATCCCTCTAATGACCCCCTTGGCTTATTGCCTTAAAAATACAATATTTAATTTCCATTGAAAAGAGCGTTTAGTTTACAGACCACCCTAAAATGGCAGTAAAGCAGACAATTGCAGTTAAAGCAAGAAAATATAAGTCAAAGGTGTGGGGGAGTCAAGACGCTTTTACACATTCGACACCATTTGATTATGGTGTGCTGTTTTATTTTCCTCCTGTTTGTAAGATTTATTTTCTGTTTTTTTAAGTAAGGCCGTACATTTCCATTTTGTTTTGACCTGTCTCGAGGCACAACTCCAGGCAGGAACATTGGAAGTCACAGAAGCTTGAATAGAGACATCTCCAGTCTCTTTCCTCATCCAGGTGATCCAGGTGATCATTTGTGGAGATCTTTTGAAGTAAGGGACGTGGTGGCTCAGTGGCTAAGATGCTGAGCTTGTCGAGCGAAAGGTCAGCAGTTCAGCGGTTCGAATCCATAGCACTGCATAACGGGGTGAGCTCCCGTTACTTGTCCCAGCTTCTGCCAACCTAGCAGTTCGAAAGCAGGTAAAAAATGCAAGTAGAAAAATAGGGACCACCTTTGGTGAGAAGGTAACAGTGTTCTGTGCGCCTTTGCCATTTAGTCATGCCGGCCACATGACCACAGAGACGTCTTCAGACAGTGCTGGCTCTTCGGCTTTGAAACGGAGATGAGCATCGCCCCCTAGAGTCAGGAACGACTAGCACATATGTGCGAGGGGAACCTTTACCTTTACCTTTGAAGTACATGCTGCCTTCCTTTCAGTTTTTCTTTTTTAACTTGATAATGGACCTTGTTCCATGATACATACCTTCTTTTGTGTTAGGCATGTCTGAGATCCAAAGTTCAGGTTTTTAAGTGATTAAGCCATGCTTGAACTAAGGCTCAAGATATTTTAAACCTTTTGATTTCAGGGGAAAAGGTGTAAGCAACAAATCCTGGTTAGCTAAGAAAGATCCCAAAGATTCCACTCTGGCTAGATTGTGGCCCTTTGTGAAGCAGGTCCCAATTCTTGTACCAAGGATTTTGGGAAACTGTCTGATTGTTCCAGCCTTGCAGTAGAACAAAGTCTGCTTAGAGTGGAGCTGCAGGCCTAGTGGCTTCAGGGCCATCCTCAAGTTGCATTCTTGGCTTTTCCACTGTCTTCACCTAGAATGTTCTTTGGAATTTCTCATCTAGCTCTCATCTAGTCTCTCCTCCAAGTATTAACCAGGTGTGGCCCTGCTTAGCTTTTCAGATCATTCAAGGTGAGCTAATAAGGGCTGCTACCCAGCAGAGTTCTGGTCTGATAGAGTGGCATCGCAAAAATGTTATTTGCCATCATTGTTGCTGCTTTCGAGAAGAATCCAGGGTGTTGTGTCTGAGCTGACCCAGCCTTAGCAGAAGCAAGAAACAGAATCCTTGTCATGAAAAAATCCTCTTTATTTACCTCTTGTGAATTAATTGCATTCACCCACCGAAAAGTCCAGGCAAGAGTCCTTCAAGGAGTTCACTGCAGTAACAGACCTTATCACTTCCTTGAGATAATTGCAGGGCCATGAGCTCCCAGCCAAAAGGCTGCAAATTAAGTTCTGGCAAGCAATCTTTGTGGCACGAAACACCATGAGCAAAATCTTCAGAAATACGAACTGTTGTCTCCTACGACAACCACTCCCCTTTCCTTCTATTTATTCCCCAGCCAGGGAGGGGCCAATCCATGTCCATGTTTGCTTTGCTTCCCAAGTTGACTCCTTGTCCTCCATTGCTCACCTCTCCTAACTGCTCTGTGCATACATACTTCTGGAACAGGCCCCAGCTGTTCTTCCTCCTCACTCATCTCAGCCTCCAAAGGCAGCTGCCTCTACAGTGGCTTGGAAATTTCAGACGGCCCTGGCTCTATCTCTGCTTCCGACTCAGAGCATCTATCAGAGCCTTCCCCAGACTCCAGAACTGGCCCAAGTTCCTCCCAACCTCCTCATCATCTGGAGTCTGCAGCCAGCTCTGCTGGTAGTTGGCGGGCCACAACAGTGCCTGAGCTGACCTTATGCAATGGGCTTTTTAAAAAATTCCTCCCACATTTCCTGAAGCCTCCTCACCTGAAAAAAAGTGGGGTGGTTGTCCAACCCTCCTGAAAAAATTCTGGGAGTTGGTGAAGAAATTCAGGTAGAATGGAAAACTGCTTTTGCCAAGGTCCAGTCAAGAGATTTCATGACCAGATTCCATGACTGAATTCCAGCCATGATTATTCTTATCAAACACTGATATTCCTGCTCGTAAGAATTCAAGAACCTTTGAAGTAGCTATATTTGAAATCTGCAATTAATTTTTGTGCTCATTTTTCCCAGGTTGACAATTAGTAGGTTGAAGTTAAATTAGCAAAGGAGTTATTTTTTGAATAATAAATGTTCTATCTGTCTTTAATTACTTCATAATTCTCTCCGGGTAGCTTTAAAAATCACAGTGGCTCAGCTCTGCTTTTTCTTGACTATTTTTGAACTGGCCTGTTAAGCCTTAACCAATGTTGAAAGGTGCTTGGAAAAAGCACTTTTGGGACAACAGGAGAAATTCAACCCTGCTCTGAGATCCAGGAAAGATGGCAGCATTTTGAATGTTAGCTGGGACATTGTTTTATTGGATGGATGAGCCAAGCTTCACCATTGGAAAAGCATCACTCTCACAACTACACTACATCACCTGCCCATTTTGACCCGGCCACTGCCCTTCCCTGTCACAATCGGCCCCAAGATGCTCTGCTATGGGGCATGGAGCAGCGATAATGCCCAGCTCCAGTTACCAACCTACCCAATGGCCAGAACTACTGTGTTTTCCCCAAAATAAGACCCTGTCTTATATTTTTTTGAACCCTGAAATAAGCGCTTGGCCTTATTGCCATGCGCTCAAAGGCCTGATTGGGCTTATTATCAGGGGATGTCTTATTTTCGGGAAAACAGGGTAAGTTACTTGGTCCAGTTCTATAGTTGCCTCTTCTTTTCCTTGGCTAAATGAATTCCAGCTGTGAGACAGCACTCAATTAATATGCTGCTGCCTCTCCTTGAAAACCCCAAATTTGCAACTAAATTGTTTGCTAAGAGGGCATGCATGGCTCCACCTCCCAATCTCTGTTGGTGGGTTTTTGGGGGGGGTTTACAACTCTTTTGTTTTCCAACTTAGTCTTGGGTCTTTACCCCATCTCTCTCTTCCCTCTCATTCGCCCAAGGAATGCATGCCAAACGACGCTCTCCAGTTGTGCTTCTGCTAACCAGGGCTATGTTTTATCCACACCTCTGCAGGGAATAAATCACAAGACAGTGGGATTGCCGAGATGGAAGAACTCCCAGTTCCTCACAACATCAAGATTAGCAACATCACTTGCGATTCTTTCAAGATTTCATGGGACATGGACTCCAAGGCGAAGGAACGTATCACCCACTATTTCATCGATCTAAATAAGAAAGAAAACAAGAATTCCAACAAATTTAAGCACAAGGTAGGTCTTCCATTCCTATTGGCAGAAGAAGCTGCATGAAGCACTGAGCAACACAGAGTTCTGATTTCTCTACTCAGATCCTCATATCTCTACTCGTAGTATTAGGAAGGGGAAAATCATTATAAATTGCTGACACAAAATGGGTTTTCTCAAAGAAAGGGAACCCCAAGTGTAGGTTTCTACCTCAGACTTAAATTTTTCTAACATCCTTGCAGTGGTTTGGTACCTCTGTTTAATCCAGACCATTAAATGTTATAATTCATCAGGGGCTTAATAGGCATTTGATTTAGTTGTTTTTCCTGCAAAGTTGGGGAAAATTAACAATGAACATGTGCGGTAAGTCATGTTGGATTTTCCCTTCGGATTTTTACAGTAGTACTCCTTCATACATTTATCACAGAGGAAACACCATTAAAATTATGGGGGATTAATTCAGGGTTATATATACAGCAGTCACTTGATCTTTTCTATATAATCTTTGAGATGAACATTTGCATGAAATGTGTTTGAAAATATGCATTTTCACATGCATGTCTCCTATCCTGTTTCCCAAAATAAGATATCCCCTGATAATAAGCCCAGTCGGGCTTTTGAGTGCATGGCAATGAGGTCAAGCGCTTATTTCAGGGTTCAAAAAAATATAAGACAGGGACTTATTTTCGGGGAAACACGGTAATTCATACATTTCTGTGTATACTTCCAATATTATATGCGAGTTGCTTTCCTAATATGATGCATTTATGTTTATGACATCTAGATGGATTTGGTTTTGTTTCATGAGATGCTGAGCCCTGGTTGAGCCAGTACTCAAACCATAGGTGACACTGGGGTAGTGCTAATTGACCAATGGGAAGACTAAATGCATTATAATTTGTGGAGTTTGGAATAGCATGCAGGAGACTCACATCAAAATAACTTTAACAGGCATTAGCTTGGCATGAATTGAGCTGAAAGTCCCAGAAACAGTGGGAAGTTCAATTTTTGTCTGAACCTTCAGCTCAATTCATGCCAATCTACTTTGATTATGACTCCATAGTTAGGTACATACCACCAAGTGATACGAACAGTAATAGTATGGACAAAGGATGATCATCATGAATTCTTTTTAGGAAACAGACAAACTGATTTTGAAACTTTCTTAGATATTATCCACTTCAAATGTCTCAGCAATTCCAGAATTTACAAAAATTACCATATTTTTTGGAGTATAAGACGCTCTGGAGTATAAGATGCACATTAGTTTTTGGGGAGGAAAACAAGAAAAAAAATTCTGCCTCTACCTACCAGCATCTATTGCTATTCATCTGGCTAGCATCCTTGCAGCAAACAGCCTAGTCAGCTTCAGCACGTTATCGCAGCCTGATTCAGCATGAACAGCTGATTGGTGATTGGATCGGCCTCCTGGAATACCGCCAATCAGCTGTTCCAGGCTGCGGGGATCACCACAGCCCATCGTTGCCTCCGCGCGTTGTGTTTTTGGCCTCCACACGCCCCGTTTTTGGCCTCCGCGCATCACACTTTCAGCTGGTTCCAGGCGGCGGGGATTGATGGCAATCTCCGCTGCCTGGAACCATCTGAAAATGTGATGCACAGAGGCCAAAAACAGGTAGTGCAGAGGCCAAAAATGTGACAGACGGAGGCCGAAAAAGCAATGCATGGAGGCAGCGATAGGCGGCGATGTGCTGTGGCAATCACCGCAGCCTGGAACGGATCTAAAACGAGGCATGCAGAGGCCAAAAACGTGATGCGTGGAGGCCAAAAATGGCTGAAGGGTGGGGCCAGCAGATGGGCAGGGCTTCGCCAACATTCGGTGTTTAAGACGCACCACAATTTTCACCCACTTTTGTGGGGGGAAGTGCGTCTTATACTCCAAAAAGTATGATCATTATAAAGAGAAAGAGAATGGAAAAGCAGTTTGAATCATTGTCTTCTGGAGATTACATTTGTTTCTTTGTAAATAATCACTGCAATAGTAAAATAGCTTCTCTTCTTTCCTGTTATGAAGCTGTTGTTGTTTAAATGGCCAAGTACGTCACTCAGTTACTGAATCTTATTCAGTCTCGATAATTTTACATGTTGCATAGCTTTGTGCTACAGACAGAAGAAAAGGTGCTATTTAGAAAGGAAGTAAATACCAAAATGTCAAGTGTTTGCCTCTAAAGTACTTTGAAAAAATAAAATATGCATTTAAAGGACAAATAAACATTTGACAGCTAATAATCCTGACCCTGAAGATGTGAGAAGGCTAAATCAGTGGCTGTTATAAAAACAGCAAAAATTATTTAGCCCAACTAAAGTTGCCTTAACACATGTGCTCCCAAAATTATTACTCTTCCCTTTTCTCACTCCAATTATGATAGGAATGTGTTAAGTCAACAACAGAGTTCCAGGTGCAAATTTGAACCTCCAAAGTCTTGGACTCCTGAGTTTATGTCAGTCTAGCATTGCAAGCCTAAATTTATTTATATACACAACAACAATATGAAGTCACCATTGCTGGTTTTAGTTGGTTTTTAGTTTTAACCCTAACCCTTCATAAACATCACGTTCTTCCCAAGAACCTGGAATGTATCGGGATTAGTACAGTAGTGGCCAAAATTGTGGAAACCTTTTGGGAAAAGTGTATTTTCTAAAACTAATAACACCACTTTTTTTGGAGTAGTAGTACCATAAAATTATATATCAATGGAAAGATAATTTAATCAAGAATGTAATGCAATAACTTTTATGAAGGATTTGCTATTAGAATAGCAGTTACAGTATAAAGAAGAAAAGAGAAACATGTAGAAAAAATAAGATATACAAGAATTATCACCAGAGAAAAAACGAGATATGCAAAAATGATCCCCATGTCAGTTAATACTTCATTGGGTAACCTTTAGCATGAATGACGGCCTTACAACATCTTCCCATGGAGTGAACCAAGTCTTTTAGTTCTGCAGCTGTTATAATGTGAAACCAAGATTGAATGATGGCTTCTATTAACTGGGTTTTATTGCTGGGTCGCTTCTGACTAACCAGTTTCTTTCATCAGCTCCATAGATATTCAATTGGGTTAAGGTCTGGGCTATTTCCAGGCCATTCCAGCTGTGGAATAGGATTATCTTGAAACTCCAAAAAAAAAAAGAAGAAGTGGTGTTATTAGCCATCAGACCTCAAAAATACACTTTTCCCAAAAGGTTTCCACAATTTTGGCCACTACTGTATATGTGCAGACTTTTTGCCACTGATAGATAGAAATTGTGTCAATGCACAAAAGGTTTTCTAAGTCCAAGGTTTTTTGACATTTTGGTTTTTTGGAGAAGCACTGGGACCATCACAGCTGGTTTATGCCACAATTTTTCCACTTTGATTTTCAGATCTTGATACTTTGTGATCTTCTCGAATTCTTTGCTTACTATCTCCTGATATTGACATATCAATTAACCACACTTCCTTCAGTTCAACGACAATTATATCTGGTGTGTTGTGCGCCAAAACTTTATCTGTCTACATTTAGAAATCCCTCAATATTTTAACTTGTTCATTTTTCAACTACTTTTTTAACTTGTATGTTCTCACCAATTTTTTGGTCATTGGCCTATGATAATTTTTACAGATGTTCCAATGAAGCATTTTGGCATCTGTGCCATCATGGTGTTTTCATTCTCATTGTTATTAATGTATGTAGAGGCCACAATACAAAAATATATGCAGATCTCCGTTTAAAAGGGACATTTAGAAGGTGCTCTGCTCCTGAACAGATCAATCTTATACAAGTAGTCCCCAACTTACAACAGTTCGCTTAGTGACCATTCGAAGTTACAACTCCACTGAAAAAAGTGACTTATGACCATTTTTCACACTGATGACCATTGCAGCATCCCCATGGTCATGTGATTTCCATTCAGATGCTTGAAAACTGACTCAAAGTTTTTGGGGACTTTGCAGTGTCCCAAGGTCATGTGCAGAGGTGGAATTCAGCCGGTTTGGGCGAACCGATAGCACCGACGATCAGTTGGCTCCACCACCACCCCACCCCCGCTCTATCCTGTCCTTTATTTCCTGCTTTGTAGCTCATCTCAATCGCGTGGCACAGCTGATCCCCCCACCCCCCAGAGCTGTTCTACTTATTGTTGCTGACTTGGAGGGTAAGCAGCTGAGCTTCCAAATGCTCCATTTTCAGCGCTGTGCGCAAGCACCTTAGGCACCCACACAAAGCGTGGACTCACTAAACCGGTTGTTAAACCGGCAGCTTTCCACCACTGGTCATGTGATCACCTTCTGACAAGCAGTCAAGAGGGACGTCAGATTCACTTAACAACCGTATTAGTAATTTAACAGCAGCAATGATTCACTTAACAAATGTGGCAGGAAAAGTCATAAAATGGGGCAAAAGCAGTAGTGAAATGTAAAATTTGTTACTACCAGTTCTGTGGGTGTGGCTTGGTGGGGGGGGGGTAATGTGACTGGGTAGGCGTGGCCAACTTTTTTTTTTTTTACTTTTAAAAGCATTTTTTCTACAACCTCTTCGGCTGAAGAGGTTATTAAAAAAATGCTTTCAAAAGGCTCTGGCGATCCCAGCTGAGTTGCCTGATCGGCAGAGGTTTTTTTAAAAGCCTCTGCCGATCAGGAAACTCAGCTTGGATCGTCAGAGGCATTTAATAGAAAAAAAGGGTTTTTTTCTTTTATAAAAGCCTTTACGATCCCAGCTGAGCCGCGCGATCATCAGAGGCTTTTTTTTTTCACTTTTAAAAGCATTTTTTCAGCCGAAGAGATTGTAGAAAAAATGCTTTTAAAAGTAAAAAAAAAAAGCCTCTGATGATTGTGCAGCTCAGCTGGGCATAGGGGAGGGGCAGGGATTTTTGCTACCCGTTCTCCGAACCACCCACCTCCATCGCTACCGGATCAGGCGATCCGGTCCAAACCGGGAGCATTTCACCCCTGGGCAAAAGTCACTTAACAAATTTCTCAGTTAGCAGCATAAATTTTGGGTTCAATTGTGGTTGTAAGGTGAGGACTATCTGTATTCCTTTTGGACAGAAGAAAGAAAAATCTCTTTTTTGGAAGGAAATTCTACAGCCCTGGGATATGACAATAGAGTTGTTTCTTTGGCTGGTAATGGTCTTTCGTTCCCGAAAAGATCCAAAGGGCATGAATAGCTGATCTCTGGGACTAAACCTGCCCCATCACTGTTTTGAACTGGGTGGGCAAGCAAATGAGCAACTGGTGCTATTACTTCTGTTGCACGCCCAAGCATGTTCTCACTTCCTCCCCGCCCATCAAAAGTGGAAATTGCACTTGCACTGAAGTGTGATGGAATGTGAGAGATTATGGGAAGAAAAAGATGGGCTAATAGACATAAAACAGTCAAGAGACAGTTGGTAGCTCAGCTCACGAATGGCAACTCAGCCCAGGTGGAAAGAAGCATTTCAGATCATCCAGAGACTCCACCGTAATTAACTCATGGTAACTAAGGATGAAAAAAACCATCCTGCAGTTTACTTACTCTAAACTAATATTAAATTCCTTGTGTGTCCAATCACACTTGACCAATAAAGAATTCTATTCTATTGAAGATTCCTTTCAGGTATAGTTCTTCCTTCCATGATCACATCTGCCTGGTTCTGGGCACAAAACCGGAAAAATCATTTGCAATTTTCTCCTCTTCTAATTTCCTGCCGCCTTCAGGGCTCTCCCTGACAAGGAGAATCCCTCCTTAATTATCTCCAATGCCAATAGCAGCTTCCTGTCAATGAGTGGCCTCCAGTCCAAGCGAGTCATTCTGCTCCTGATGAACTTTATGAACTTCATTAATGAGCTTCTGCTTCTGAAACATTTACGAGGTCCCAGAATATCTACCAGCTGTTCTGACCTAGGCTTCCCAAGAGCATGAAGCCAACTCCTCGTCCCGATAAAACCTCTTCTGTTTTGGTTAAAGGGAAATTCCTCTCCAGCAAACAGTCTTTCATGAGATTTCACAACTACAAACCTTTATCAGGCTTGGAGAGTTGCCAGGCCGGTATCTTCTAAACGCCACGCTGTGGCAGCAATTCCTTGGCAAGAAGTCAGGAGCAGATCTTCACCCTCATGAATTGAACCGATTGTCTCCTGCAACCCCCCCTCCCCTTTTGCTTCTCTTTATTCCCTATGGGAGGGGCCATTCATTGTCCACCTGTGGCTTTACTCCCGAGTCGACCCTTGTTCCTTAGTTGTTCCCTTCTCCTCGCAGCTCTGCGCATGCGCACATTGGGAACAGGCTCCAGCTGTTCTTCTGCCTCACTGATATCCGACTCCGAAGGCAGCTGATAACTGTTGGACAGCCCTGGCCCCGTCTCTGCCTCAAATGCAGAGCACTCATCAGAGCCTTCCCCAGACTCCAGGACTGGCCCATGTTCCTCCTCAACCTCCTCACTGTCTGAGTCTGCCACCAACTCCGCTGGCCACTGGCGGGCCATAACACCAGCCTTCCCTGCCCTGCTGAAATGGTGGGCTTCAACTCTCAAAAACCCCAGTCAACTTGACCCTTTGTATGATCCGTTTTCCCTTCACAGTTTAGCCTGAAATTCTGAGCTTGGCTGCCCGAGAATATGTCTCTTTTGATGACATTCATACATAGCTTTAATATATCTGAGGTATAATATATTACACCCACGTCATAGTCTTTTTCTTCCCAACACCATTTCACTCCCTCTTCTAGCATGATTACCTACTTAGTGAATGTTTCTTATTAGTAGCTACTTATGGTCACTTCTGCCTGGAGAATTGGATATTCAGATGAAAAGGAGTTATATCTATGAATGTCATTGAGTCTGAATGAGGATGATATTTCGGTAATTACAAGATAAGGAGGTAGAAACTCAAAGGTTGACCTGCTCTGCTGAAGAGGCTAAATTTTGTCCTTCTGAGGGAGAGTTTGATGCCGTCTCGTTTTGCTTCCAATTAGACCAGCAAAACAAAACAGGAAGGCTCACTGAATCCTGATCTGTATAACCTTACTCAAAAGACAGGCTCCGTCATTTGTAGCTGTTTTAGTAAATTGCTATTCCTGTTTATTTTAATTATTCTTGTATTTCTCACTTATAATTTATTTATGCAATATTATTCTAACCGGATAAGAAGAGAAACTCAAAAAGGATGGCTTTTTTTCTGTTAGGGGGACATATTGTTTCAGATTATCTTTTATTCTTATTCTTCATTTATGATACTGTTCATTTATGATACACCATTAGAGGGGAAAGTAACAGCGGTTGTATATTTTATTAATTGCAGTATTTCCTGTATAATATTTTATTGGTTGTATTAGGTTTTCACTTCTAAATAATGTTTTAAGACTGGTGTGAAGGCTCACTTTTCCACTGATATGTTATCCTGTATTTGCCCTGATTTTCCTTAATCTGTTTAGGATTACCAGCCTCTTGGCCTGCCATAAATAGCTTCCAAGGAGCTTTCTTTGTAATGGATGGTAAATGCATACATGAAAGAACCATCTTACAATATGAATAGCTTTAGAAATCTGGTCAAATATAAGAAACACCCTGATAATCTCCTTTCACGGAAGCCCACCAACCAAATAGTAAACCAGTAATGCTTAAGAAATCTTAGTTGGAAGATAAACTCATTGCCTACGAAATGTGGAATTGCTATAATACTTGCAACCTTATTCCATCTCTTCTGTCTATTTAGACATCTTTCTCAAGAAAAAAGTAGCAATACCTCTAGTTTTATAGCCTTCCAAATACTACCGGTATATTTAGGACGACTCTATCTGGGCTGTAATAATTCAAATTGCCAGAAGATGGCAACACATCAGGATTAGACTTTGCAATATTACCTTGCTGCCATCTAGTGACTTCTAGATCAGGGGTGAAATTCTCCCGGTTCGGACTGGCTCGGGCGAGTAGATAGCGATGGCGGTGGGCAGTTCGGAGAACCGGTAGCAAAAACCCCTGCCCCAGCCCCCCCATGCCCAGCTGAGCCGCACGATCATCAGAGCCTTTTTTTCCTTTTAAATGGCTCTGACCAGCCAAGCTCTGACATCCCAGCTGAGTTGCCTGCTAATCAGGCAACTCAGCTTGGATCGCCAGAGCCATGTAAAAGAAAAAAAGTTTCTTTTTTTCTCCTCCCCTACCTCAAGCCTCCAGCTTGCTTACCTTAGCTGCTGGTTGCATGACGATCGCAATCCATTGCATCAGCAATCTCCCTGCCTGCAATCAAGCTCATCGGTGAGCAGCTCTTTCTGCAACTTTAAGACTTGTGGACTTCAACTCCCAACAAAGCTGGTTGAGGAATTCTGGGAGTTAAAGTCCACAAATCTTAAAGTTGCCAAGGTTGGAGACCCCTGTTCTATTGGGTAAGTTTTTTTCCCCTTTGGGAGCTTTAAAAAAAATAGTTAATTGGGATTTTTTTTAGTTGTTCTTTTTTTAGACCTAGCCATTTAAAGATTAGGAAGTTTTAAATTTAGCTGCTTTTATATAAAAATAAAATAAAATAAAATAATATTTGTGCAGCTTTCTGAGATTTAGTGTGTTTCTGTAGTATTTCACTCTAACTACACAAACACACAAAATCTCACAAAGCTGTATGTGGAATTTTGTGTGTGTAAAGTGTAAAAGTTGGTTTTTGAGGCTTTTTGTAGCTGTGTGAGGTTCCTGCTTGTTGCAGGGGCCATTTTGGGTCTAGCACAGCTGCTTTTACATTGTGGGTGAGCCAGTTGTGTTGTGTTGTGTTTTGTAGGTTAAAAAAGGGCAAAAAAGTGACATTGACTTGACCATGCCCACCCAGTCACCTTACCACCAAGCCACGCCCACTAATTAAGCCACACCCACAGAACCAGTAGCAAAAAATTTTAGATTTCACCCCTGTTCTAGATGTTTGCTAATGCCATTCAGTCAATGCAATACCAGCTCTGGCAAATAATTCTGCTTCTCCTATAACCATTATGTTATGTTTGTTAGTGGGATTAGTGTAAGAGAAGCATTCAGGAAATACCAACTTCCTTCGTTCCTTCCTTCGTTCCTTCCTTCATTCCTTCGTTCCTTCCTTCTTTCCTTCCTTCCTTCCTTCCTTCCTTTGTCATGGCCTATCCCCTGAATAATTATCTTCTATTAGTCAACTAACAAAAGAAAATAACATTTCAAAACCTTTGAATTCTAGTAAGAAACTAACCTCATCCACAACCCCCAATCCCAGGTATCTGGAGAAAGGCATGTTGAATATCACACGCATCATAATATCACTGTGGAGATAATACAAAGTATATAATTTGACATGCATTGTGTAATTTGCATTGTTTGTGTGGTGGTGTCCTAGCACAGGATGTTGCTTGTCCACTCTACAGCTGTTCCTCATTTCCCTCCCCAACTAGGATGTGCCTACAAAACTAGTGGCAAAAGCTGTCCCCCTGCCTATGACCGTCCGTGGCCACTGGTTCCTGAGCCCACGGACTGAATACACAGTTGCTGTACAGACGGCTTCCAAGCAGGTGGATGGAGACTACACAGTTTCAGAATGGAGTGAGATTATTGAATTCTGTACGGCAGGTGAGTCCTCTGCTTGTGGGAACCAGCCTATGGCCAAGAAGCAGCTTATCAGAAGCAAATAGCAGTTAAAAGAAGCAGAAAGGGCTGGGTGCCAGAGTGGCCACTTTGGGACCGGGAGCTGAGTACTGAGAAGGTCAGGAGAATCCCCTGGGAGTCGGATGCTTCAGAAGATTGTGAGGAAGGTAGGAAAATAGGAGGTCAAGGAAGAAGGGGCACTTGATTGTTGCAAAGGTGAATAGAAAAATAAGTGACCAAGTTGAAAAAAATGCATTCAAGTGGTTTGCTGATCCATAGAGAAGGAATGAGGATAGAACCACAAAATGAACAGATGAAGGAAGAGTGAAAGACACAAAAGGAAGACCAAGAAAATCACACTTGGACAGAGCTGATGAAATAACAGAATAACATAGTTGGAAGGGACCTTGGAGGTCTTCTCATCCAATCCCCTGCTCAAGCAGGAGATCTGTACCATTTCAGACAAATGGATATCCAATCCAGAGAGAGAGAGAAAGAGAGAGAGAGAGTTGAGAAATTGAGAACAAAAGGTGGGGTATGAATCAAAGTATGGGCATGATAGAAGCGAGGCTGTTTGCAAGAAGAGGAAGATACGGAGAAGAATACTAAATAATGTTGCTATTATTAAGATTACCTTTTCTTTTTTCCTTTCCTCTTTTATTTCCTTTCCCTACTGTGTCTTACGCTCCTTCTGAACTTGACATCATGTTGCTTACCCTGAAAGAGAATAACCAATGGTGAAATAGGGACGCGCATATGGATAGGTGTGTGTTGCTAGCTTTGGGGTCCCAGTTGATAATAGCACCATCAATCATCCATTTGGAAGCACCGGTGTATTGTCCTCACTAAGAAAAATGTTTTGTATTCACAGATTATTCCAAGGTTCACTTAACACAACTTTTGGAAAAGGCAGAAGTGATTGCAGGGCGTATGCTTAAATTTTCAGTCTTTTATCGGAATCAGCACAAAGAATACTTTGACTACATCAGGTAAGTAAAGGCAAAAAGAACCAGCTTTCCAGAGATGCCCGGTAGTAGGATTCAGCCAGTTCGCACCACTTCGGGAGAACCGGTTGTTAACTTTCTGAGCAGTTTGGCAAACTGGTTGTTGGAAGAAATCATTAGGGCAGAGAACCGGTTGTTAAATTACACCCATGTAGTCCCACCACTGGAGATGCCTGATTGCATGTGGAGGAGAGAAGAGCAAAGCTTTTCCCACTGATAAGTGACAAGGAAGCGCTCAGCCCCTCAGTTTTAGGAGCAACCATTCCCTGTAAGTGTTATCATTGATAAGTGAATAGCAGGTTGTACTCTTCAGTACATTTAGTTCCAATATTCTTGAAATCTAAAAAAAGCAAAGCAGTTTTACCAGATACAGCTTTAAAAACAAGAAAGCCAAGTCGTTATAATATAGAAGTCTGATGTTCAGGAAAAATTAACGATGACGTCTAGTCTTGGAGTAGCTTCATTGCTGGCCTAGGATTAGCTCATCTGGCACTAGGGGGTCACTGTGCTACCATCCAAAAAGGGATTGCTCTGCTGCCCCTCCTTGTGGTCCAAAATGGTTTGTCTCAACTTTTAATGATGTTCATCTCAGCCCTCTTTTGAGATGTGGAATCCACAATCTTGGTTCTGAGAAATTAAAAAAAACACAGAAGATGAACCTCATCTAAAGTTTTCTTCACTTCAATGCATGGAAAGCATAGAAGAAGATGAAGTAGAACTAGAACTCATCTTATGACATTAAATTTTGCCCTAATGGAATGCTTTTCTTTGTGGACAAACATCTTACCATGGATGTAGCACAATCTGTAGCCCTTTGGCCAAATCCAGTGACTTTTAGGAAGGGGACAGAAGTAGATTTACTGCAATATACCGTATTTTTCAGAGTATAAGATGCACTTTTTCCCCCTAAAAGAGGGTGAAAATTTGGGTGCATCTTATACACCGAATGTAGCCCCGCCCACCCGCCGGCCCCCACCCTTTGGCCTCTGCCTCCCAGCAATTTGCCTCCTTGCAGCAAACAGCAAACAGCCCGTTTCAGCTTCAGCACAGCCTGATTAGCACAAGCAGCTGATTGTCAGTTGGATCGGCCTCCCAACCATCAGCTGTTTCAGGCTGCAGGGACTGTCATTGCCTATTGCCGCCTCTGCATGCCCCATTTTCGGCCTCTGCTGTTTGCTATAAGGAGGCAAATTACTGGGAGGCAGATTTTTTTTTTCGTGTGCTAATCATGCTGTGCTGAAAATGAAAATGAAACAGGCTGTTTGCTGTTTGCCACAAGGAAGCAAATTGCTGGGAGGCAGAGGGAGAGGCAGATTTTTTTTTTCTTGTTTTCCTCCCCCCAAAAAGGTAGGTGCATCTTATAGTCCGGAGCGTCTTGCACTCCAAAAAATACAGTAGATTGTTGCAACTTTTTAATTGTACTTTCTATTCTAAAAATAAGAGGAGCCTACCCTGGGCTGTATTTGGTCTTCCATTCAATATCACACACTGCCTAAAATTAGAGACCCTCTCCAATAAGATACACAGCTCCCTGATAAAAAGCAGATTTGGTCTCTGCCAGCATCTGTATTGTCCAGTTTCTCTGCATAAATGCAAACAGGATGAGGGGGGTCTGCATGGTCCCCACACTCTAATGCCACCATAGAACTAACATGTTCCCCATCCTTTACTTCTAGAGAGCAGCATGGAAGCGTCCTGCAGCCCTCCGTGAAGGATAACAGCGGCAGCCACGGGTCTCCCATCAGCGGGAAGCTGGAGGGGATCTTTTTTAGCTGCCACACCGAATTCAACACCGGAAAGCCCCCCCAAGATTCGCCTTACGGAAGATACAGGTTTGATATCACAGCCGAGAAACTTTTCAACCCAAACACAAATTTGTACTTCGGGGACTTCTACTGCATGTACACGGCCTACCACTATGTCATTCTTGTCCTTGCCCCCGTCGGCTCTCTGGGGGACGAATTCTGCAAGCAGCGCCTGCCTCAGCTGAACTTGCAGGATAACAAATTCCTGACCTGCACCGAAGAAGAAGACGGGGTCATGGTTTACCACCATGCACAGGATGTCATCTTGGAAGTGATTTACACTGATCCGGTCAGTCTCTCCCTCGGCACAGTGGCAGAAATCACCGGCCACCAACTCATGAGTTTGTCCACTGCCAATGCCAAGAAAGATCCAAGCTGCAAGACATGTAACATCAGTGTGGGACGCTAATTTCCATCTCCACCCTCCTTAGGACCCTCCTCCGTTGCCTACGCCCTCTCTCCACCCTCCACATCAGACGCATGACGAATGCCCTCCTTCCCAGAAGCGAGCCCCTGTCACCCAGTTCTTCAACAGTTCCTCTCGCGGAGCAGAGCTACATGTTCCAGCCACGCTGGGGCAGCCCCCTAAACGGCATCCAGTGAAGTATCTTTCTCCCTTTCTGCCCTACAGCATTGAAGCCGAGCATGCTGGCCGTTGTACCCACAGCTTATGTGCTTTCCCTGTTCCGGTTGGATGCTGCTGGTGGGGACACGGGATGGGATGGCCTCACCGTGCCAGTCAGTGGGTCCCTGCGTCATGGGGGAGAAAGGAAAGGAGCTCCACGTGGAGACAGTATTATCTGCAGCCGCCCTGTGTAGCATGTAGTTCTGCCCTTAGCATTTCCCACGTTCCTTCCCTCCTGATCCGCCATTGCTTCCAACTGTTCAAAATCTTGAGGGTATTTTAGTTTTCTTTTCTTTTCTTTTTTTCCCTAGCAACCATTTATACATCTAGGTGCTGCAATTGGTGTTAATTTGTCCCTCCTCTCTCCATACTGCCAAATGTAACAAATCTATATAAACAAGCTTGAGTAAAATAAAATTTCCTGGCTTCTAAATAGTGTTTAAATATGCATTCATTTTAACCTACTGAACAACTTAACTGGAATATTTCTAAACAGCATGAACAGGTATAATGGCAGCATGATTAACTCTCACAAGCCTAGGAAAAAAAACAAATGTCAGCACTTCCAATGTGTCGTTTGACAGTGTTATTTATGTTATTTATATGAGCTAACAAACAAACGGAAGACCTGTGTTTCATCATAATAGAAAAATATTTTATTTGTACTGTTGTATAAAATATTATACAATCATATAGAATATATAGATGGCATTTTAATAGCAACTGTACACATGTCATGACAGCATTTTCCCTTATCAAAGATGTAGTTTGTAAACTTCAAATACTTGTGTATCTGTTCCTGTTGCTCTGACATGAGTTTTAATTAAAACAGATTTATGAAGGAGACCACTCTGGTTCAGTTATAAATGATGCAGCCAACGACACCGAAACACCAATTGCCATAGAAACAAACAAACATACAAACAAACAAAAAAATCCACTTAGTTTAGTCATGGGACACGGACCTTTCCCAAATCATTAAAAGATTCCTCCCCCCTCTTTTTTTTTTTTTTTTTTAGAAATCATGCTTCAACTTTTACATATATTGACCTACAGACAAGGTTGGTGGATAATGGAATTCATCTAATGCCTTCCTTTATGACACTATAGCAGAAAGAGAGTAGACCCTGTCCACCTTTTGCATGAAGCTCTGGTTCTTGGGGGTATCTCCCCGGGCTTCCTCGTCATTTCTGATGTTGTGAAATCACCACCCTTCACACATGAACATCTCATCTGGTCCTGTCCTCGCCCACCTCTCTCTTTGCTTGTGGGAATCCTCCTTCATCTGTGCACCGGAAGGACAAGACCCAGGGCTCTGCCTCTCCTTTTCATGCAATTATTACAAAAAGACGAAGGCTAAAGACAGTACGTGCCTCTTCCTGGAGTCTTCTTTGAATCTGGTTTCCGTTAAACCTGTGTTTCTTGAGAAGTCTCCTGATTGTCCACCTCTGACTCAGTCATGCTCCTTATAGAAGTGATCTTTTTTAAGCTGCGAGAATAACTCGCTTATAAAGTCTCTTCCTTTTTAATCTCAAGATGGCAGAAACCAGCCACGTCTATATTCTAGCCTATAGCAAACCAAGTTAGAAAACACGAAACCCAACCATCCGCCATTCATAACCATGACACTTAGATTAAATATCTGCATACATCATAATGCAATAAATTATTATCACTATAACAGAGTAACTTGGCGATCATCACGTGTGAAATATTAAGATCCTACAAAGTGCATGCTTTCAAACAAGCTTTGGTAATCATAAAAAGCAACATTTTATAGTATTGTGCTACAGAAAAGTGCTACACAAATAAAGATTAGAATGGACCACCAAGTAGTTTGTTTCATTTTGGTTACTATCAACCAAGCCCTGGAGATTTCCCTTGAAGAGGATGGGGTAGTTTACAATTCCTTTCCCTGAAATGTATTGGCTACTCTTTCCTGTTTAAGGGTTTGACCCCATAAATGCCTAATCTTCCTTCTTAAAAACTGTGCCAAACTGTGCCAAAAATCACTACTTAATTTCTGCACTAAATATATACGAAGCACACCATTTTAGCCCACTACCTTTTCCTAATTAATTTGCATCCTTCTGAATTCACCCCTTGTTTTTTGTGGTGCATGGAAAGGTCAAAGCAGAAATGCTACAGGAATTAAAATGAGGGAAGCGTTTGATCTTATCCCCGTTAATCTGATTAAACTGTTTTGGGCCGAGAGTGATCAGGAAGGAACAAGGTGCTACGGTCTTCATTTTTGTCACACGGGAGCCTCACAAAACCTTGCCACTCTTCAACGCATTTTAAACTCCTTTCATAAAACCTTTCCTACTGTCTCAGTATATGCTGTAGGTTCCTTACCATAGCTGGAAAGTCATTCCTTTGGTGAACGATATTCTCCCCACCCACCCACCCCCCCAAATATGAGATAGGAAAACTGCTGTGTGGACTGCATTTATTTTTTTAGCTTCTTAATGCATAAGTACATTATTCTCAAAAGGGATGGCACATAATTCTGAAGCACTTATCTTTTCTATTCCTAAAATAAACAAACTCTAGATATTGGTGTCTATCAAGCAGAGTTCCACCAAATCACCTCTCATTTTAACATTTACTTCGGAAATAGCATACAGCTGAAAAATTATCTGTATTGTTTCGCTACTTTGTCCAGTGACTCTGGAGGTGACCAGTGGCCACTTCATCCTGTTGGCTGTGGCAGAAGATCCATGTGTTTCTGTTGAGCTCATGAGCAAAAGCAAGCATCACAACATTAATCAGAAAACACAAACAAATAGACACACCCAACTGGGCAAGTGTGGGAAGCCAACCACAGACATAAACACACTGCAGGATTTAGGCTCTGTAGCCACTCAAAAGATTTAACTGATTAGGAGCATATGGCTTGAGGGGGTGAATTTCTCCTCCTGTTGCTTTCAGCCACATTACAATCTGAAGTACTGAGAAACTGACAATACCCGTGTCACAAACTGTCCCAAGAAGGAGGGAGCTTCCAACAGTAAGACAGTCAATGTTGTTGCATCTTAAAATCTGTTTTCTTGCAAAGTAACCTCTACATCAGAGGTCTTCAAATTTGGCAGCTTTAAGACTTGTGGCCTTCAACTCCCAGAATTCTCCAGCTGGCTGGAGAATTCTGTGAGTTGAAGGCCACAAGTCTTAAAGCTGCCAAGTTTGAAGACCTCTGCTCTACATCAAAGCATATTTATCCACTAAACCAATTCAAACCATTGCTGATGAGTGATTTGTTCTAGAAGATGCAAGGTAATATCTAATTTAAAAGAATATTAAAATGATGGGATATTCGCACTTTTGTTCTGCTCTTACAAAGCATTCGCGCCTTCAGCATTTCTTCATATATGAGCTTCCTCAAAGAATTCCTCACCCAAAGATGGGGAGTTCTGGGAACTGAACATATCTGAGATAGAGAGAGGAATCATTTAGTGAAGACTGCATATATGACTTTATCATGTATGTCTTTAGTTTACATTGTTTTTTAGTTGATTATAATTAGTTACGGGTACCAAGTCAAACTTTAAGGCACGGGTCTAAATTTCCAAAGATACTCTACACAAGTATCTTCTCAATATTCTTGGTCTACAACTGTCGTAGTCTTTAGGGATTATGGAGTTTTACAAGTTTTACAGATTAATAGAGTTGGAAGGAACCTTGTAGGTCATCTAGTCCAACCCTCCCAGTCCCCGCCCAAGCAGGAGACCCTACACCATTTCTGACAAATGGCAGTCCAATCTCTTCGTGAAAGTCTCAAGTTTAATGCGACCCATCATCAAGATGCAAGGGCGGGGAAGATGGTGATAGACAAGTTTCACAAGCAAACTTCACCTGAAACTTTGGGTTCATATCTAAAATAGTCCCACTAACATGCTTAATACAGCGGTTAACTCCCCCCCCCTTTACCCTTCCATATCTGGATGACCTTCTCCTAAACTAACATCAAAGGATAGCCCTGAGCCATTGAAAAGCAGCCAATAACTTAATGATTCCCAATTATAAAGGGAGTGACAATCATGCCAACATGCACAATGCCAAAACAGAACAGATTTCTACAGCTGGGGAGGGGGATGAACCTTCCAAACTTGCAGGAATTGTTTTAAAAGTCCCACCAACCCTTCTCCCACCAACCTTCCTCCTTGTATGGAGCCCTGGCACTTGGAACAGGACATGGTCACAGAGCTGACCTTGGAGACAGAAGGGATGGGTGGAAAAACAGTGTGTTAAGCCTGGGAAACAGACTGATTCTTCCCTATTTCACTAGGGTATATGTAATGGGAAAGGAAAATTCAGTCAAAATTATGTGTGTGTCTCTCTCTCTCTCGACAAAGGATGGATCCAGTAAGACTTGAAGTCTGCCTCCTGACCTGTTCAGCCTCAAAGGACTGACACGTGGGCATGTGGCTGGCAGGTATGATCCCTCCCTTGCTTCACTTTCATCTCTAGGAGGAGAAACTGAGCTCTCTACATGGGATTCCCTTCCCCACTGTGATGTCTTGGGACTTCTGGAATCACCTTTCAGTTGTTCCTTTCCTGCAGTCAAATTTCAGTGCCAGAAGGATAGAAAACAACTTGCGTGCAGAAGGACAGGGAAAAGATAACATGGGAGGGGAAGAGGGGAAGTCCATATTCCATCTACTCCAAGCAGGATCTTCAAACCACAGGTGAGAATCCACAATATAATCCTTTGTATGGCATTAGATCCCCTCTGGACCTTTATAGAACAGATGGGGCTGTGGAATTTGGTTCCCACAAGCTTTCCACAGGCAGCTTAAACCCAAAGGAGCACGGGTCCTTCTTGGTTTTATGGGACAGATGGGGAGGTATGGTTTTTCCCAAATCCTGGCTCTGGGATGGAGGAGAATTAGTCATCACACCTACATGCACACTTAAACTCACACACAAATGCAAATGTATTTTTAGACACCCCACCCCCCAAGTGATTGTGGAAGCTGGATAAACTACACTTCTAGTATTTTTGTTTCAGTTTCTATTCTAAAGCTTGGACCAATTTTATAAAGTCAGAGGCCGTGTTGAAGTGTCCAAGAGAGAAATTGGCCCACTTTTCACCTCGTTTTCCCTATAAATCCATGTTTGTACACGCTTAGTAGACATCACAATGCAAACCAGAGAGAACTCCATCACTCAGTCAAAAGTAGTTGTACACTTTGTGCAAAATCAGGAAACTAGGCTAATCTTGTTAGCTGCCTGCAGAGTCAATAGTTCAGAAGACAACCTGTTCCTTCAGTACAAAAGAGTACAAAAACCCATCCAGCTATTTTCCAAAGGATGCCCTCCCTGTTTGAATCAAACATTCTCGTTCTCAGTGCTTCTCTACCACTTCCACAGCCTGGACTGAACATTCTACGTGTCTTTGCAGCATCCAGAACCTTCCCCAGAGTACATGAGTGGCAGAACAGAACAAGGCCACTTTGGGAAGGAGACATCTCTTGAACATCAATTGACCCAAGGTTTAAGTAAAATGTAAGACTCTGCAAGGCAGGGAAAATGTGTAAAGATGACATTCCAATTGCTGGACTTCTCAATACATCCCATCAAAAAGCATTATGTCCTAATCCACTCAATCCCTATTTAAGAAAAGTCAAAAGTGATAAAAACACAGAACGCAGATATGCTGATGTCCGTAACAGAGAGGGAAATTTCAATATAAACACTTCAGCTGGATAAACACAAAACTGATCCAGCTTTGGCAGCAACCTCTCACCCTAAATTCTCTCTACAGCAAGCTGAAATCTGCAAACAACTGCATTTTCCAAAAATTTCCTTCAATGTGCACAGAACAACAGTTCACCCACCGTTTTAAAAATTATTGCATAATTTAGTCCTGGGGACTGAGAACGGGTCTCGTAGCCCAAATGCTCCCTACTGGCCCTTGAATATTTCTGTAAGAATTATTGTGAGAATTTCACTAAGCATTGCTCATGTCTTTGCATCAAAAGCACCAAATGCTGCCTTCTTATTTACCAAAAAGAGAAAGGAAGATGGAGAAAGATGAAGATTCTCAACAGCCGAACTCTGTACTTTAGCACCATGTATTCTGATTTGCAATTGTAATTTGGGTGACTAACCCATGTTACATAATTCATGACATCCTGATGAGTAGGACATCATGACAGCTTCCATCAGATGTCAATGCTTGGTGTTGTTCCTTGTGTGGAATTATGGCATTCTTGCCCAAAAGTGGTGAGAGGCAGGCAGTGGGTGATACCCAAAATTCCTGAATTGGCCCTTTCACAAGATTACTGAATCTTGGAAAATCTCCCTGATCCCATACAAATCTCATGAGATTGCAATGCCAGAAGGGCAAAAAATCTCACAAGAGACTTGTCATTTTGTGGTTCTTGGTTAGATTGCTGGAATATCTCAGGCATAGGGGAAATTGTGCAATTAATTTTGAAGGGTTAATTGAACTGGAATTTCATAATTATGAGATTTTGCCCTTCCAGAATTCATAATTTTGGACATACCCACAAAGCCCAGCTGTGTACATACACACGGACTTCCCTGTGGGAAGCGCAGATCAAAGAAACGGCTCATCTTGCTTATTCCTTTGCCCTTCCAGTGTTGTGAGCATCGTTGTTCAAATGATGGTGGCCAGATAGTTTGGATATCAAGTATCCAAAATACGTTCCAGCAGAGCTTTGAGAGACCCGAGGGCTTCCCAAGCCACCTTCTTGAAATTGCATAGGGCTGCTGCTTCCCTTTAGCTCCGCAGCAGGCAAATGTCCAGGTGAAAACAGACTCTGGAATTAGGAGAGAATTCACAGGGAAGAGCCTGTCCTCCTCCATCTAGTCACTCCTTCCTTGTGCAGTCCCATGCCTGCTCCACCACCTTTCTGCTGTGCTCACCTGAGCATTATCACCTTAAGGAAGCGCAAGAGCAAATCACTGGGCAGAAAGAGCCAGCTGTTCTCTTTTCTCACATCAGGAAGTTTTACTGGCTTCAGATGGTTTTGGAGATATCGTGTTTGCTGATGAGAACCTCCAGGAGGCGGAGTTTGGCCTTGATGTGCTTGTACTCCAAATATTCCTCTGACATGGAGATCCGATCTTCCTTCTGGGGACTCCTGCAAAACAACAAAATGGGCATTCAGACCTCAGCAAGAAAGCATCCAGGATTCATAACATCCTTCTGACCAGGAGACCAAGTTTTCATTACTTCATTACTTTAGCCAGAGGAGTCGAGAGAGGGCAAGGGAGTGGGAAAATCCAAATGAGAGCCAAGGAAATATCTGCCACCCCTCCAGGCACAGGAGATTTAGATGTTTACTTGCAAAAGTTAGTCCCAAAAGATTAAAGGGCAATAGATATTCTGTGAGGCAGACAGTTCCACTTTCTCTTCTGGGGCTTTCTGAGATCTTCTTTTCTTTCTCCTGAATGGCAGCAAGTATACATTGTTAATAAAGACTGCAAATCTTCACCAGGGCTGGATTGAAGGGTTAGCTGGACCCAAGTGGTGGGATTCAAATAATTTAACAACCGGTTCTCTGCCCTAATGACCGGCTGGGTGGGCGTGGCCATGGTGGGCATGGCCAAGGGGTATGACAGGCAGCACTCAGCCTCCTGAACCCCCTGGGAGCAAAAACGGGCTGTGTGGGGGTGGGATATGTGCTGCCCTCCCCCGCGCCCCATTTTGGGCCTAGGCCTCCCTGTACTTACCTGGGAGCCAAAATGGGGCGCATGGGGACTCCTGGAAGGGGAGGGGCGGGGAGAGGCCAGCCAACAATTTAAATACCGGTTCACGCGAACCGGCCCAAGCCGACTGAATCTCACCATTGGGGACAATTCTTGGCCAAGCCTCTGTTTCCCACTGTCCCCAGGAGGGAAAAGGAAGAAACAAGAAATGGGAGCCATCATTGCACCAATAATATCCTCAAAGCTCACAATTCTTGTGAATTTCTCCCCCACCAGAGATGATGGTGGGAAAATAAGTTATGTCTCTTAAAAACTGATGCTACACATGATGCACCAAGTGAAAATGATTTCTTTGGGGGTAAGTAAACAGAGTTGCCCACGCTTTGCAAAAGAGCTACCTCTTCTAGGTATCACCTACTGTACTTGATATGATCCTCCTAGGTATTCTATTTGGCGAGGGGGTCCTTTCTTATTGGCGCCCCCAATTTCCAAAGCCCATTTGTCAAGCATACAAGAGGGCCTTCTCCTGAGTCTACTCTCTTGCATGTTGCTTATTGCTGCAAAGTACTGTCTCTTCTATTAGATCTTTTGAGTTGATGGTTGATTTTATTTATTTTTATTTTTATTTATTAAATTTATATCCCACCCTTCTCCCTGAAAGGACTCAGGGCGGTGAACAGCCAAGAATTAAAATAACATACAATATAAAAGTTAAAATATTTAAAAATAAATTAAATTAAACGGCCGCCCCAATTTAAAACCCCTAGCAATACAATTAAAAAACCCCTAAAACCCATTCAGGCCAGGTCTGAAATAAAACCCCTAAAACCCATTCAGGCCAGGCTGAAATAAAAACGTCTTCAGGGCCTTACGGAAAGTGCGGAGATCCGGAATCAGCCGTATTCCGGGAGGTAGCTCGTTCCAGAGGGCGGGTGCTCCCACAGATATGGGGATGATGTTATATTATTTATGTATTTCAACCATTTTCTATTATTTTTTCTACCTGAGGACCAGTGGTGGGTTGCTCCCGGTTCGGTCCAGTTCTATAGAACTGATAGCAAAACTGGCAGGAGGCTCCACCCATCCGCCACAATTATCATCATGGGTGATCTGAGCATGCGCAGAAGTGCACGAGTAAAGCATGTGTGTGCACGCGCTCCCGTTGCAAACCATAAATGTAAGTGGAACCCACCCCTGCTGAGGACCCTGGAGGTCAAAACGTAGGGTAGAACGTGAAACAAATGAGTATCCCCAAAGCTATTTTCATCTAGCTTCTTTTCAGAAGATTGCTGAAGTTGTAAGTGATGTGCAAATAATCCTGCAGAATGACAATCTCCAAAGTGTGTGTTGTAACTTCAGTGTTCTCCTAGCAGTTCATGTGCTCATGTGCTCTGAGGTTAAAAATGTTACCATTTCCAGGAACACCAGGTGTCTAGACTGAAAGTACCTCTCTGTAAGAATCATTCTTCCTATTTCACACATTTGGGGATGGGTACTTTCTGCCATTATACTGTTCAGGAATCAAAATGTTTGGAATCGAAAGGTGCAGCCTACCTCCGTTTCAATAAAGAAAACACGAATACTTTTCTCGGTTATCACAAGCCTGGAAAATACCCTGTTTCCCCCAAAATAAGACATCCCCTGATAATAAGCCCAATCAGGCTTTTGAGTGCATGGCAATAAGGCCAGGCGCTAATTTCAGGGTTCAAAAAAATATAAGACAGGGTCTTATTTTCGGGGAAACACAGTACTAATAAGCCAATGCAGTGATTCTTCCAACCCATTAGAAACTTCCTGTGGGGAACCATTATTTGGGGGAGGTTTACAATGGCTTAAATCAGGCTCTGCCCATCCATGGGGTTGAGATTTGACATGCACGCGACTGTCTCACCTTCCTGTTTGTCTAAAGAACTCTTCCTCAAATTCCCGTAATACTTTCCTTATCCTTTTCTTGTCGGCTCTAGTTTCTCTGAGATGTTCCAGAAGCACAGGCCTGCAAAAGAAGAACTGGAATTTTAAGATCTGAAAGATTGGAAAACTCCTAAGGTGATAGTCAGTTGAGCAAATCAGGGTCCCAAATAAGCATGCAGTATGACAGGTTGTCCCTTGGAGAGACTCTCCTTGAGACGGATGCACCCAACTGCTTATCAGAAAATGTCGCCTACCTAGTTCCTAGTGAGTTCAAAACCATATAACAAAACAAGTATTATATTTATGATTACTTGGTAGTAGGAGAAGATGAATTTAAACCAATTGTGCAGATTTGCATTCTGCCCTAAGATCACTTTGAACACAATTTCCAAAGCGAATGATGGCACTTCTTTTCACTACTCTTTCCTATGAGCACTTAATAAGCTTGATTGAATAAAATAAAATAAAATAAAATAAAATAAAATAAAATAATAAAATAAAATAAAATAAAATAAAATAAAATAAAATAAAATAAAATAAAATAATAAAATAAAATAAAATATAAAATCCCTGATACCAACAGGTGCATCATAATGTCAACAAGGGGGAAGTTGGCACTCACATGGTGGCCTCATGTAAATTGGACATCGAGAGGGTTGGCTGCTTCGTCACACTCCTTCCATCCTGAGGTGAAACAAAGGCGGGTTCATTCTCCTCATCCGAGTGACCCATCTGTGCCTCAGGAGGCCAATGGAGAGACCCAGTGGAGCTACTCTGAGGAGGTTCTTCATCAGAATCTTCCTCCTCCTGCTTGGAACAGGGAACAAGAATTATCAGGGTCCCTCCCTCCCTCCCCACCCATCCTTCAAATGAAGAAGACCAGAACATTAATTCCAGAGGACAACAATTATATGAATAAACAGACTGGCCTGCTTTGTATTTAAGTATTAGAAATGTTGGTTGGCCAAGGCTTTCTTTGCGTTAAAAGCTTGCAGACACTTATTCAAGGTCTTACTTCCTCGTTATTAGAAGAGAAGTATAAATAAACCACACTTTAGCACAGTGTCTTTCTGGGATATATGTTTGTTGTTCTCTGAGACTCTGAGACTTAATGGATGTCCCAAAGATGCTTTTCTAAAGGGAAATGGACTTTTTTGGGGTTTTTTCCTTGAAAATGTTATGCTTCTCACAAGAAGCTTTTTCAGTTCTGTCTTTAATGGAATTCTTTCAGAAGAAAGAATAACTGAACGGTGGTCTTTTTCCGTGCAAGTAACCACAAGTATATCTAAACCCCAGTGGTCACCAACAGCCTGCACTTTCCATAACTGTAAGAATTTGACAGAGTTTATTTTGATACTACAAACCAGTAATCCCAATCCAGCCCTATTTGAAAGTATGTCCAAGTAAGTCCCCTGGGTTTTATTTCCTGAAGAATAAATGTAGTGACGAGACCCTTATGCATAAAACAAAAGCTAATGTGCAACTTGAAGAGAACCTACAAGAAACATCATCTGGTGTGGTGCATTTCTTCACATAATCCTCATGAGACTTACAATAGTTGTAATCAAAGAGGGCGTTGATAGAAGCTGCTTTATAATTCTGTATCTTTCATAAAGAGGCTTCATCAAACTCCTGTCTTCCTGGTTAACCTAGAAAGAAAAAAGTAAGGAGCACCAGGTTGGCTCTGAAGAAACATCTGAAATTTCTTCTTAAAAGTCACAATCCATCTCTATGGGGATTTTTAAATTCCAACATGAGGAATGTGAGACACAAAATACAGTGACACTTTCTGTGCTGACGGGATATCACTTGTCCTAATTTTAATGTTGTTCTACACTTTGGTAAAATAAACAGTTTATCAGAACTGACTATATGTCCCTTGCACACTATGGGGGTTTTTTTTCCTCCAAGAATTTAAAAAGATAAGACGTATGTTTGTGATTTGTAGTACCTTGTATTAGAGAAGCACCACTTCCAATCAGAAGCTAGACTGGTGCTCTACCATTCCTTACCACAAACTGGCACAATTTAATTCACATTCTCTGCCTAGTCTGCCTCTGGCAAAATTTTATATAACCAAATGTCGGTCATGCAACATTAAGACTGGCAGATCTTGGTCATTCCAGTCAAATCCCTTGCTGTCACTCTGCAATCTTAGGACATTATTCGGTACCACTTCAACATTTCAGGGAAGAATCAAGGAAGTGCTACAAGCATGGAGCCTCCAGTAAGGTGAATTATATATTGATGCCAGCTTGATTTAGTTCATGGCAGCTGTTCAAAACTGTTGGAAGGGGTTTCAAGAAAAGTCCTCCTCTCTTGTAGAAATTTTATATTCAGAGCACCAGCTGGGCTGTTCTAGGCAGAAAAAAATGGAATTGAGGCGAGCAGGCAGATCTCTGCCTCAAAGGGTTAAAACTGAATGGTTCACAAGACATGTTATATTCCTAGACAAATATCCCAATCATAAGCTGGTTATGCACAAAATCTTGCATATTTCTGAATGTTCGGCTCAATTCTTAAAGATGCATCACAGATTTTAGAACATATTTTGCAGGGAAATATACAAACATTAAGAGAAAATTCAGTAAGGTATATTTAAATATTCAGATGCATTTTTGTATTTGGAAACATTTGTATATTAATGTAGAAATGGATACATACACTAAAGGGACACAGACCCAAAGCAGACTGGCATATCCTTCTTGGCTATCAGCCCTCAACTATAATCCATCTTCAGTGGAGAACATACAAAACATGCATTGAGGGTTGTCGCACTAAGACACACAAGCCCAAGTATTGATAAAGAAACAAGCTGTGCTAGAGAACCCATAAAAAGTCAAAATGGTATGCAGAAGAGCATAGTCAATAAGCTCAGATCCAGTAGACAAGAAATAGGTAAGAGGATATACGATGGTTTAATAAAGGAGAGGAGAAAAACCATGTAAGCCTTTGGCCTGTAGGTGAGATGCAGTCCAGAGTAATCTTTAGTGTGGTTTGCAACAGGTGAAAAACTATGTCAAATTGACCTTCCCTCCTCTCTCCGATTGCTTTTCCATTTTTGCTAATTGCGCAACACTTTGGATGTCAACTCCAAAAGCTGCTTCAAGGCACAGGAGAGCATGAAGCAGCATCTGTCTGCAACATCTCAAAGCCCTTCTTGTTTGCTGAGTGGGATGAGAAGCATCTTCCTCGACCAGCAACTGTATGAGGACTTAGGTATGAATGGAAGGAGGTGGATGGAAGGAAAGGATGGGAATTGTGGTGATGAATGGTTGTGAAACGGTTCTCTATGGTGAAAAAGAGAAAACGTCAAAGCAAGGCGAGGCAAGCCAACCCTTGTTTCCGACTGGGTTGTTCCGTCTCTTCACATCAAGTGGCAGTTTCTACTTAACCTTTACTGACCTTGAAAGATAAGGTGAAACCTGGTTAGGACTTGGATGGAGACTACCAGGAAACCCCAGATGATTGACTAAAGGAGGAAAAATCCCAGAAAGTGGCAATGGCTAAGAACTTAGATATTACATGTAGGAGTTTGTATACGTGCAGGAATTTTCCTATCTTGGAAGGCAAACTTCAGATAAGGAAGGTTACATGCACTTAGGCGCCAAGAAATGGCATTAGAAAATAAGACCCTAAATCTGTAGATAAGAGGAGCAAGAGAAGAGGAAGTGGGATATATGTTATACTTTAACTATAGCTAAACATTATAAGTGCTTAAGCAAGCAGTAATGGTTAACCAAAGATTTTAGTTACCTGGAAGATTCTGTGAGCCAATGATATGCTGCCAAGTACGCTGTAACTTGTAGTAAAAAAACTATATAATGTCACTTTGTAAAGCAATAAATTACCACATATACCCTCAACCTCTCTGTGTGTGGTCATTTCAACAATTACGTTCAATGAAAGCTCAGGCTGGCTTTAATTTGTAGAATTCATTAATTAATTTAAGTGTTTTCTAGCCCTTTCATCTGACCTATCAGTGGGTGTGTTGGTACCCCTGATTAATGTGATGGGATATATCAACTGCACAAACTAGTTGGGAAAAAATGTACCAATATCCAGTGATCCTGTACTTGTGAAACCAATGTGCATCTTCGAGAATGTGATGAGATTGAGCAGAAGGGACCATTCAATAAAACACTTGTGTTTTGGGACCAAGGAAGGGTGCCTTCCCTGTTGCTGTGCCCCCCCATCCCCCTCAAGATCCAGATGGCTCTCATGAATTTCAGAAAGTGTCCAACAGACATCTGGAGCTGGGTAGCTTCTAAATTGTGAGAGAGAGATAAAGGAAAGAGTTAAATGAGAAGGGGGGATAGATAGATGATCAACAGATGATAGAGATGATAGATAGACGATAGAGAGAAGAATAGATGATAGAGAGAAGAATAGATGATAGAGAGAAGATAGAGACAGATATGATAGAGCTAGGCATAGTTCAGGAACCTATGGAAGATGACATGGTGGAAGGCTGCTTGAAGTATTGGACCTAATTCAACCTGACCTTGGCGTGTGGGCTGGGGAAGTTCAGAAACCACCTCCTGCTAAAAAGTAATTGCTAACCTGAAGTTGACCTCGCTTTCTAAGAAATACTTACAGGCCGTCCATGAATACTTTCAAAATACAGTAGGCTTTTCTGGAGACTGAGTTTTTCCAAAGCCATTTGCTTTTTTGTCATAGCCTAATTAAAAAAGAATGATTTATAGAAAAATTAACAATCGAGTGTTATCTGCTGGAGGGAAATCGGTGCACAAAATAATATGAATGAATTCGTGTGGTTTTTAAAAGTCACAGGGAACATTTTTTTTTTTACTGCAGAATTTGGATGATGCTTGACTGCTTTAAAACTGGCTGACTCAAGGTAAGTAGGACCAACCACTAGGCGCCTACCTGTGAAATGCATCTCACTCATCGGCATTTTCTCACAGCTGGCAGTGAGCTCTGAATTTTGGTTCTACAAGCTTCATTTTCTCCTTGGATCAGACTGGATATTTTTTGCAAGATTCCTTTAGATTCATGGAACTGGGCAGACTTAGCCAATTACCTTTGTCCTTTGGGTTTGTCAGAGACCCCCCAAAATTGATCTCAACCAGGGATGTCAAACTTGCAGCCTGTGGGCCAGATGTGTCACATTGCTGGCCATGCCCACTCCTATTTTAGCGAAGTGGGGAAAAGTTGCAATACGTCATGTGACGACGTGTCACTGCGAGTTTGATACCCCGATCTAAACTGAAAGTAATTTTAATTGCCTACAAGGTTAAATTTGAAGATTCACATTTATGCTTCTAATGTGGTTTTTGAATTGACTACACCAGCAGCCCCCAAACTTTTGGGTACCAGGGACTGGTTCTGTAGGGAAAGGTTTTTCCGTGGACCAGAGGGGGGATGGTTTCCTGTGCTGCCTGCATCCCATAGATGGGGCTTCGCTGTTTGTGCAGCCTGGTTTCTGGCATGCCGCAGACCAGTGCCTCTCCACGGACCAGGGGATGGGGACCCCTGGACTACACAAAGAAGTAAAGGAAGGTTGGGGGTGACTTAGACCAGAGTTCCCCAACCTTTCCGGCTTTGTGGACTTGCAAGGGGAAGAGGGGATGGTTCCGTGTGAGTGGCTGCCATTGCTTGTGCAATTGGACTGTGTGTACACACGCTTGCCTGCTGCTCACACAGGTGGGGGTGCACGCATGTGCTTGCCTGCCACTTCAGCGGCCTGGTTCCAAACAGCTTACGGCCTGGCAGTGGGGACCCCCAACCTAGACAACTAGCTCAGTTAATGGCTTGAGGATGAAGACTTTTGTTCACTCTTTGAGCTCCAATGTCCTCACCCATTCCAGATTACAGGCATGACTCTGATTTGAAAAGCACCACAAGAGAGGCCAGTGCTGTCACGTGTTATGCAGTATCATGCCACAAATGACATATTCATCTCTTTACGCAGAGCATGCAACATCATTTTGAACTCATCATGGCTTCTACGAGAAACCAAAAAGTTTCTACCTAAACCTCAGAATCTCCAGATACAGCTTTGGACACCAAACAGGCTACAAGACGATAATTTAAAACCCCTTGTGCTGATGTAGTAAAACGTCACAACTGCCACATTTGTACCGGGTGACAATAATACACATTTGTACCCTAGTGCCAAAGACCACTAATATACAGTTTTCTGCACAAATGTTTGTACCTCTTTGGTTTTTCGCTCCTGTGGAGCTCATGCACACACACAGGGTCTGCAAGTCAATGTGGAAGGAAGCTCATGAAGGTGATAGGACATGACAGAAGCCATCAGGCGCATGCCAAGCAACTCAGCAGGTAAACCAGGTTTGCCGGTTTAGCAGACCTAAATGTTATGCCAGAACTGGGTACCTTGATGTTCTCAGGGAGCCCGAGCTGCTGTCGCTTCTCTTTCAGTTGCTTCTTCACCACTTCCATGGTTTCCTCCACCGAAGGACCGGTGGGCAAATCTGCTGGATCCAGCCTCCCACCCTCTCTGTCTGGCTGAAAGCTCCTTTGGCTTCTTTTGATGTGGAAGGTCTGTTCTTCTGACATTTTGAGTTTCAGCTCTGTGAGAGGAAAGTCCACATAATACCTCAACGGAGGAAACGCCTGCAGCCTACAGCTCCTCAGTTCATAAAAGGGGAATCGCATGACCCCGGGATACTGCCACCGTCATAAACATGACTCAGTTGCCAAGCGGCTGGATTTTGATCCCGTGACCATGGGGATGCTGCAAGGGTCGTGAGTGTGAAAAAAATGGTCACCTTTTTTCAGTGAGGATGCAACTTTGAAAGGTCACTAAATAAAGTGTTGTAAGTCGAGAACTATCTGTAATATCCTGTGGATTGGGGTTTGGGGTTTTTTTTTTACAAAATTTTGGTGTGGCACAAACAAAAGGGAAGTACAGATCAAAACTAGAGAAGGCAAGGAATTATCCTGCCTGAAGGCTATTTCGGTGCCCTTCCCCCACCCCTCCTTCTCTCAATGGCCTCATTGGCAGGGTAGAGCCAATTTAGCAACTCAGCTTCCAGCTTTGCTCATTAATTCTCTTCCTTGCACTTTATCTGTTTTGCATAGGCCTGGGTAATCAAATGGAAGCGGTAATCGTATGGATCAGATTACTCAGCTTTTTAAGATTTAAAAAGATGTCATTAAAAAGTCACACTGCGTATCTTCTGTTTCTTGAGGAATGTATTTGATCTCTGACATCCTCCAGTGCACGCTATCACGAAAATGTCTATGACGCCTATCATCTGATGCAGTGGTAGGATTCAAAAATTTTTACTACCGGTTCTGTGGGCGTGGCTTGGTGGGCATGGCATGGCATGGCATGGCTTGGTGGGAGTGGCTTGGTGGGCATGGCAGGGGAAGGGTACTGTAAAATTTCCAATCCCACCCCACTTCAGGGGAAGGTTACAGCAAAATCCCAATTTCCTCCCAATCAGCTGGGACTCGGGAGGCAGAGAATAGATGGCAGCGGGACCAGTCAGAGGTGGTATTTACCGGTTCTCTGAACTACTCAAAATTTCCGCTACCGGTTCTCCAGAACTGATCAGAACCTGCTGAATACCACCTCTGGTCTGGTGGAAATCTGACACTTGGGACATATTGAATAGGGAAATAATAGTTTCTAAAGCTGGTTTGGTATCCTAAGATCAAGCTTGGCATTATAGGATTGATGGATGAGAGGTATCCACATAATGAATCTGTTAGCTCTGCAGTAGCTCCGTCAGTGGAGAGCTGGGCTGATCCAGGAAGTGACTGAGATTTAAGGTTCCTGGAAAAGCCACAGAAACCAACACTGCTGGGTTTGCATCTCCAACAAAGTGTGAGTGTAAGGGGGACTTCATTCTTCTCTCTAGTCTATAGGAAAGTCTGTGGGTCAGGGAGAAAATATAGCATTTTCCAGGGATCCTTTAGAGTGAATTAAGGTTTGGGTGCACAGAGGTTCTCTGTTGTGGTCCATCAGCGGCCAGCAGAGCTGGCAGCAGATTCGGACAGTGAGGATGTTGGGGAGGAACATGGGCCAGTCCTGGAGTCTGTGGAAGGCTCGAATGAGGGCTCTGAGTCAGAGGCAGAGAGGTGGCCAAGGCCATCTGGAAGTTATTTGCTGCCTCCAGAGCCTCTGAAGTTGACATCAGTGAGGCAGAAGAACAGCGGGAGCCTGTTCCCAGTGTGCGCATGCACAGAGCTGCCAGAAGACAAGAACAATTAAGAAAACAGGGTCGATTTTGGAGTAAGGCTTGGAGATGATTGACCCCGCCCATAAGACATAAAAGAGGAGCGAACGGGACGTGAGCTTTTGCAGGAAGCAATTAATTCATCTGGTCAGTTCAAGCTTTGAAAAGTTCTGTTAGACTCTGTGCCAAGTTTGGCCTTGCCCTGCGTCTGGCAATTAGCTTTCTGGCAGCATCCAAGGGAGATAAGGTGGGTGTTCATAAGCATTCCCCTGAAAGACTGATTGTGAAGCCTTTCGGACTGGGAATGACAATAATTCACAGCCATATGAATAAAAGAGTTTTGCCAGGACTAAGATTGTGCTTTATGCTTTCTAAGGAAGCCTAGGTTAGAACATTCTCAGAGAAATCCTTCATATACGATTTCAAATGCCTTTCTGCCCTGTTAGAGTTGAACTGGCTTTTCTTCCAATAGGAGGGATGGGGTAGAGAACGCAAGTGCCCCAGGATATGATTCTGTCCTTTTTTCCCTATCCATTAGGCTGAATAACAAACACTGTAGCTTCTTATACTGTGAGAAACTGGCTAGACACAGTGACGGTGTGTACCTTTTAGCTGTTTACGACTTTTGGCCAGGTCATTCATCCATTTCATTACTTCGGGATTTGATATTTTGTCAGCATGGGAAGGCTGCACAGAAAAGGGAAGAAAAAGGCAACTATCAGAAAGTGGATTGTAATGTTACTCTCATCAACACCAATACTGAAATCACACGTATCCCTGCCAAGGTACAGTTTGGTATTATTTGTCTAGAGCAGTCTAGATTCTCAACCTTTTCTTCACCCCCTTTAAATACCTTTTGTGGCCACAGATCATGGCCACGGACCCTTCCCCCCCCCAAGACTTAACTCAAGATTTAAATCATAACATTTCTTCAAGCCTTTGTGGACCCCTTGTGATGACATTGTGGTACCCTAGGAGTCTGTGGATCACAGATTGAGACCTTCTCTAGTCTAGAGATGCCAGATCAACTTTCCAGGTAACATTGGAGAGTGATCTAGATCAGATCACAACTGGTCTGGACAGTCTTCTGAACCTAAGAACCATCTGGTCATTCTAAGGGATGAAAAAAGGCTGGATGAGAAGAGTTATTTCTTTGCCAAGGGCTAGAACCATCTGCAAGACCTACCAAGGGGGCCTGGCTTGCTGGTGGTGGGATCAAGGAGAAACATGTTTTCCTCTCTCTGTCATGCCTCTTTTCTTTCTTTCTTTCTTTCTTTCTTTCTTTCTTTCTTTCTTTCTTTCTTTCTTTCTTTCTTTCTTTCTCTTTCTTTCTTTCTTCCTTCCTTCCTTCCTTCCTTCCTTCCTTCCTTCCTTCCTTTCCTTTCCCTTCCCTTCCCTTCCCTTCCCTTCCCTTCCCTTCCCTTCCCTTCCCTTCCCTTCCTTTCCTTTCCTTTCCTTTCCTTTCCTTTCCTTTCCTCTCACTTGCATTTATTTATTTATCACATCTATGTACTGTAGCTGCCCATCTCACAGCACACCTTAAAATCATAGAATCCTAGGACTGGAAGGGACCTTGGAGATCTTCTAGTCCAACCTCTTGCCCAAGTCCTTATTCCATCCCAGACAAATGGTTGTCCAATCTTTTCTTGAAAACCTCCATGAAGCTACAGGTCATCCTCAATTTATAACCTGGCATGGTTTTCTCTTGTTCACAGCCAGGAGTGAGACCACTCTCAATAGCCTTTAGCAGTATCAGTGCTAAAGTACTTTTCTTCCTTGTTTAAATATACCACACTATAAACATAAGTATGAATTTATGTTCTTTTCCTTCCCAAGCCATTTAGTCTTACTTTACCAGATGAGTCGATACAGTCAGGATGTATTTTCCCCTTTGGTCCTGTGTAATGACTGAAAACTAATTACTGGGGTTTTTGCTAGTCTCCATAGTAAGAAGTTAATCTGCTATTTCCTAATTTTCCTGGTAGTTGGTTGTTGCTGAGTGCTTTGTTTGGTGTGGTAAAATATGCAGATAACCCAGACTTAGGCATTTATGACATCATTGCTTAGCTAACTAAGCCTTCATGAGGTCACGTGTTTAGTATAAGGTTACTCATAGCCTCTCTCTGGTCTCCCAGAGCTGACACACAAGCATGAATCCTATCTCCTACAGTAGGTACTCAGATAATCCAAAATTTCTTTGCTTTAGCACTTGGGAACATCAAGAATGACGGAAACCACCCTCCACCCCCTGGGACCCACCAAGCCCAGATCTTCTCCCTCTCGTTGCATTTAAAAGCAGCCCCTCAGTCCTTCATGATCTCTGTGAGGGATCTGGCTGCTCCTTTCAGCTCCTTACCCGGTAATTCTTCTCCTCCTCAAACTTCTCTTCATATTTCCTGATTCTCCTCTTCAGGCTTTGCAGGTGCTTTGTGAGCTGTACCATGGTCTGGGGCACTTTGCTGTCCTCACAGCTGCCTCTGGAAGAACTTCTTGGCCTGGGACATTCAAAATTATGAAAATGAGTTTTATGAAACTCATAGATTTTATGAAAATTATGAAAATTAGAGTACCATTTCTACCAAATAAGGGCTCCAGCTACCCCGGAGTGCTATGATGATATGGGGAGATGGAAAATAAAGAGGAAGAGAGAAGAAGAGATCAGGGGAGAATTACAGAGGTGGAAACCTGCCCTGTCCTTGTTGCATTAAGAACTACATAATCTCCAGAAGCCAGCAGGTGATTTTATAGCAGGACCAAATAAATACAATCACCTAAGAAAGAATTACGCTGCAGCTAAAGGCATAATTATGGTGGTCAGTTGAGGAACAGCCACCCTGGACACAGGTTGGGCAGCTTATGTGAAATGCTCAAAAGCTCCTCCACATCCACAAGTTCTGGAGTTGTCACATGTACTGTATGATTATCAGCAGATGCTTCCTTTGGGCTGGTGATTTTGCTCAAAATGCTGGAACACGGATGCCTTGGCCTGAAACGGGCCCTGCTAATGATTTTCTTCTGAAGAGAACAGACCCAGAGGAAATCCTGGAGGTAGGAACCTCACCAAAGTTCTCACAAGTCTCACTGAGGGCATTTAAGAGGCTTCAAGGATTTTCTACACAGGCCTTAGTTTCGATTAGCAAGACTGGGGAGATGCATGTTCTAAACCTATTATCATATTTTGCACTTCCTTTATTGCGTATCATTGCATATTCTTGTTTTGTTGTCCTTTGGGCTGCAGTTATTGATTTGGCACACGGCTAAAAGTCTCCTCAGTAAAACAATTTATAAATTCACAAATAAAAGTGTAAATATTTGGCATATCATTGATTATTAATTTTAAATAAGCAGTTCTTTTGTAATGTATGATTTCTGTCCCCCCACATCTCACAAATGAAAATAAGAAAACCTTCCTGACACCCTCTTTTTCATTATTGGAGACCTCCTTGTCTGAAACTTCTAGTTCTCTGTTGTCCTTTTTCACTCTCTGCTGGGTTGCCCTCCAGTGATTTAAAATAGGAGCCAAGACGCTAACTCGCCTTATAAGGTTATGGTAAGGACTGTCTCTAAATCAACCACACTGAAGGAATGTTTACAGTGGAACAGCTTATTAGTTTTACTATTATTAAAAACCTGGAGGCAATTTGCTTTCTTGAGTAAACGAATTCATAACTGTTGACTCTTAGCTGATAAAAAAGTTTTTGAAGAGACCAAATAAGGGCCCAAGCAGTCACTTTGGGGCAGCAGGATCCCTCCGGCAAAACTCAGTGTAGTTTGAATGATGCATCTCATCAAGATTTGCAGCTGTGGGAGAAAAGGCTGCGGCCCTTCACCGAATCTGCAGCACCCCCATCAATGCCAATTTCCTAGGAAGAAGGGAGCTTCTGCTTGCCCCAAAGTAGTGCTTCCAGAAGAAGACAGTTTTGTCCTTAAAGGAAAACAAGGTTGTTTGCGCTTGGAAAATGGAAAAGGTTGGTGCAGCTTACATCATGAAGAGCTGAGCACTTGGTGGAGAAGGAGCCGATTCAGGGTCTAAGTTAAACCTCTGGCTTTGGCTGAAAATAGAGCAGCGAGGAGACAATAGAGGATAATCTCCATCCGTGATGTGATGCAGCAGCCTACAAGTCCCTAAAGCATCTTGGTCTTCGGGTCCATTGTCAGCCTCCGTCTGGCCTTCTCGGTACCCCTGAGCAGGCTCTGGAAGGTCAAGGATCAAGAGGTTTCTCAGGGCAAATTCAATATCATCCCATATTAAACAGAACTCAAGTGCCACCCCAAGAAGGAAACACTTCCATAACAGACTAGAATAAAAATGTCCCCCCCGCCTGAAGATTAGATCAGCTAAGGAGAGTAATTGATACCAGTGACAAATTGTAATTGACACAACTCTGGGAATCAACTTGCAGATTTAGAAGGCATCTTAGCTTATTCAATTCTTGCTGCCAAATATGCAGCCAGGCTAAATGCTCGATTATGATTTTGCCATATTCTAGTTTTCGCAAATGGAAGGTACCATCTGGGACAAAAAGCAATAAATAAACAATAACAATGGTTTTTTTTTCTATTTACACTATTATCCAAAGCAGCAGCAGATGGTATTTACTGGCTTTACATATTTTTAAGCTTAATTGTTCTCTCCTTTCTACTAATTTGTGTTGCATACAAAGATACCCAATAGCCCTTGTTATTAATGCTATTATTATTTATTATTTACTATTATTATTATATTATTTGAATTTCCTTCCCTTCCTTCCTTTCCCATTTTTTATTACTATTGCATCTTGTGTTGTTTACACACACACACACACACACATACAAATAGAGGGAAGGTTGGAAAGACAGACCCATTTCTTCTGATCCAATCAAAATATCAAACACATAATTATGAATTATAAGAAAAGCGAAGCCTGTAACCATTTAACCAAAACGTATAAAGCATGCAAAATGAATTGTTCACAATATAAAATTTGTACGCCAAAATGACTTATTGAACCAAATAACTAAGATTTATGAAAGAAGTAGCGCTATTAATAAGTCTGATTAAAGAAATTCAAAATACTTAACATTCTGGCAAATGTAACAATGCATCTGACTTTGCTTTCATTCCCATGATTTCTGAATTGACAGCTTCTATCATTTATGATCATGGATCAATCAAGTCTGCACAATTCACATATAAGGTCGGTTTAAATTAAAAAGTAAGTCAAGTTCCTTCCTTTTACATAAATACAGTACTTAGATGCCAAGGGAAAAACATCCCGCTAGCAAATGTCAATCCTTAAAAATTCTGCCCAGACTTTTGTTAATGCTCTTTTAAAGATATGAAGAATTGAATGATAGGTCTTTGGTACAGAAGCATGGACTCTGCTGACACTCAATTCCTGGCATAATTTAATTAAGCATTGAAAGATAACTTTGTATGCAAGAGATACATTGAAAATCAGCCCAGAAGTGATAATATGTTTACAAGAAACCGTGATGTGTCCGTAAGGTTGACTCCACCTTCCATCCTTCTGAGGTGGGTAAAATGAGGAGCCAGATTGTTGGGGGCAAAAGGCTGACTCTGTAAACCGCTTAGAGAGGGCTGTAAAAGCACTGTGAAGCGGTATATAAGTGCTAAGTGCTATTGCTAAAGGCCCAGATGCAAGGCTTACAGCTACATGCGAAGTTCTCCCTTGCCCATCGATGCCCTCAGCATTGTCAACGTGGCTCTTTAGTAGGAAAGGTAAAAGAACAGCCTTCAGAATCACCTAGACAAGGATGCCCAACCACTCAGTGGGAATTAGGATGTTTTTCCAGACCCTTTCCATTAAAGCACTGGGTCCCCATATTGGCTTTTTATGGTTGTTACTATGATTACTTCATCTGGCCTCAAAACTGAGCTATGATTTGGAGAGCCTTAAATATTTCCCTTCCCAGAATTTTTTTCTTAGCTGATAAGCCCACTAAACAGGAGATAGAGAAGGGCTAATGACGGCAACAGTGTTGCTAGTTTGGTTATCCTGGTTAGGCCCATATATAAGAGACTGTAGGCTTTCTTGTAATAGTAATATTTATTTCTTTTCTTCCTCAGGAACACAATTAGACAGGCACTAATCTGGGAGGAGCAAGAACTTATATACAGAGAAGGCGGGGCTAATGGTAAGTACTAACCAATGGTAAGTGACACAATGACATCACACAATGACATATAAACAAGCACACATATTTACAGATATCAGGTTAGGTATTTTCATCTGTAACAAACAGGATGTTATTGTTAATGTTATGTTAGACCAATGCTTACCTTGAACTTATGGGATAAAATAGGATCTCCCAAATACAAAGGAAAACAAAGGATTTGAGTGTATTAATCTTTCTATGGAAGGTTGATGTAAGAAACATATGTACACCTCATGTATGTATTTATGTATGCATATGTATATATGCTTATTTATCTGTTTAATTAAAGTAAATTAATTTTTGTTAGGATGGAATTGAGCTTTTACAATATATATATTTTCCTAAAGCCACCACTATTTATATGACGCAAATAAAATTAGTTACTATTTTTCCCTTATTATGCCCTAAACTAGGGGGGTCAAAGTTGATTTCATTGAGGCCCACATAAAGGTTGTGTTTGATCTCTGGGGGCCAGAGTGGGCATGGCCAGGGTAGGCGTGGCCAGCTTCACGTCATTCTCCTGTGGTGGCCTGAGCACTCTGCCAGCGAAAACGGGCTCCCGAGCGCCATTTTCAGCTGTGACAGGGTCCTGAAACCCAGCAATGAAATCCACTTACCTTCACTACCAGTTCGGGCGTGCTCTTGCCTGGGAGCATGCACATACTATGCTCACGCGTGCCTCTTCTGCGCATGTGCAGAACCTTCTGCTCATGTGCAGATGGTTAAAAAACAGGATGTAATGACATCCTGGCAGGTGGGCGGAGCCTCCTGCCGCAGGCGTTACCGGTTCGGTGAGTCTAACAGAACCAGGTGGATTTCACCGCTGCTGCAACCTTCTGCCAGAGAAAACGGAGCTCAGGAAGGCCACGGGCAGACCTTCTGAGCTTTGTTTTTGCTGGTAGAGGCACCAGAGGCCGGTCCTTTGCTGTTTCCAGGGTGTCCCCACAGGCCAGATCTAAGCACCCCATGGGCTGCATCCAGCCCCCGGGCCTTGAGTTTGACACCCCTGCCCAGGGATGAAATCCAGCAGGTTCTGACAAGTTCTGGAGAACCGGTAGCAGAAATTTTGAGTAGCTCAGAGAACTGGCAAATGACACCTCTGGCTGGCCCCAGAGTGGGGTGGGAATGGAGATTTTGCAGTATCCTTCCCCCAGGAGTGGGGAGGGAATGGGGATTTTGCAGTGTCCTTCCCCTGGAGTGGGATGGGAATGGAGATTTTGCAGTATCCTTCCCCTGCCACGCCCACCAAGCCACACCATGCCCACCAAGCCACACCCACAGAACCGGTAGTAAAAAAAATTGGATTTCACCACTGCCCCTGCCCCTAAACTGTGATAAATCTTATGTTCTCAAATAATGCCTGAACTCAGACGCTTTTGGCAGATTCACCAATATACCGCATCACATTCAAAGGTCTTCAGGGCCCTTTAAGGATGAAAACCCGAGGGCATGCATTAACTGAACATTTTCTTACCACCGCCGCAATCTCTGTCAATGTGCATGCTGGTTGAGGCAGATGAAGAGGCTGGTTCCTCTGAAGCCACCAGCTGAGGACTGTCTTCCTGATTTAGCAAAAAGGCAGAAGAGAGGTCAGTTGCAGAACTGCAGGACAGGTTCCATTTCTTTTTGCCCTGGTAGAGATATTCCATTTTTGGAAGGACTAAGACATGGTTTTCATTTCCCTTCAAGCTCTAGAACAAAACAAGCAGTTTGTCATCCCTTTCTATAGGCAGGTCCAAGAAAGCAAAGTTAGTTATCTCCTTGTGTTCTCTCTGGATATAATATCCCATGTTTCACACAGAACGTATTAATCCATCAATATGCTTCTGTACAAAAATCTTGCCTTTTTCATCTATCAAGTGAGTGTGGAGACCCATGGAGGTGACTGTTCTGTCCCCCTTCCCCACACAGGCAAACACACAACCAGGCACGTCTGCCAAGATTTTATTAAGCAATCAGACTAGAAACCCTTGCAGATAAGAATTTTGGCAGTAAACTGCGAAATGTCTGCCAAGTCAATTTTCACTCACAGTAAGCAAGAGAGAGTTTATCCTCAGTCTGGTTCAGTAGCAAAAAGTAATCCACGAAGCAACAGTTAGCCAAGGTCCAATCCAAATATGCACAAGCCAGATTTCAGGTAACGCGATGTGACTCTCAGGTTTTTAACTTTGATTGTCACAAAGCCTGAAGAGCAATCACACCCACTTTTATTCCTTGTGGGGTGTGGCTCAGTGACTCAGCTCAATCTCTGGCCCTCCCACACCTCTTTCATTGCTGCGCACGCTTCTTCCTCCGACGCTGCCTGGGATCAAGCCAGGATTCATCATCATCGCTCCCTATCTGTTGTTGTTCCGATATGCCTTCCTCCTGGCAATCCCAGGCTGTTTCTCTTGGCCTTCGGAGGGAACCTGAGACATTGCCAGAGAGGAGGGTCCTGGAGAGGGAGGCCTTATCAGTTCCTCCCCATCACCTTCTGAGTCCTTTTCCTCTGTTAGGACAGGCTCGGGAGTCAGCGTCACAACAATGACCTTGAGGGAGCCTTCCAGAAGCCATTAGGATTACCTCAGAGAGCTGACCACAGGGTTCTTAGGGCAGGGGTAGGTTCTACTTATCTTTACTACTGGTTTGCATTGTGCCCCCGCAGCTCGCTATGAGGATGTCCGGGTCAGTGGGTGGAGCCTCCCACTGGTTTTACTACCGATTCTTGCAAACTGGTCCGAACCAGGGGCAAGCCACCACTGTGTTAGGAGGCCCTGCATGAGGGCCTACATGTTTATCATCCCTCCAAAACAGAGGTCTTCAAACTTGGCAGCTTTAAGACTTGTGGACTTGAAGTCCACAAGTCTTAAAACTGCCAAGTTTGGGGACCCCTGCTCCAAAAGAAGTCCAGATAATAAGGAATTCAACATAGACTGAGTGAACAGTGTTGTCCACAAAAAGTGTAGTCTCATGATCTAGTCCAAATTGGAGGACATCATTGGTCATTCCACAAAGAAAGGGTTAGCTCCTATGAATCCCAGGAAAATAAGGAGTACAGTAAAAGAATGGAAATAGGCGTAAGTTCTCCATTCAGAGAAAATACATTCCTTTATTAGATTCACTTCCTGCATCTGTCTGATCCATAATTCACCTCTGACACCCACTATGGATTATGGGGAAAAAGCAGCCAATAGAATATGTGATTAGAAAGAAGGTTCCTGGTTTTAGCAACATTAATACAGTGAAGTTCCAGTTTTTGAAAATTTATCAGCTTTGAGTATTTTTACCACCTGATAAAAAATGGGAACATTAAAATAACAACAACAACAATATTGACTCCAATTTAAAATGAATTTGGCTATTACCTAGTCAAACACTTAGAATTTAGATCAGTCAAACTAGAATACTCTCAGTTTTTAATCTGTTTCATGACTATCATACATACGACAAATGATGCCCTTTCAAAAGGGGAAGAAAGATTTATTGAACAAAAGCTTTGAACACTTGATGATTCTCCTTGAGATTCACAGTTATTTGATGTCTGAAGTTCTCTAATAATATTAAGAAGAGCCCCATTAAATAATATCATTATATAATTTCTCTTTGAAATAAATGAATAGTGATCAACAAAGCATCAAAATGAAACCACCATCATAAGTAATCACTTACAAAAACCTCTCAAAATACAACACAAGGAAGGCAGTCAGGAGGAGAAAAAGAAAGTATAATTTCTGGTTATATTAAGCTCATGTATCAAAGGCTGAGCTTCCTCATTCAACTTTTCAGAATAACAAGCACAACAGGGTTAAAAGGACCTTGGAGGTCTTCTAGCAGGGGCTGCCACAAAGAAGAGGGAGTCAAGCTATTCTCCAAAGCACCTGAGGGCAGGACAAGAAGCAATGGGTGGAAACTCATCAAGGAGAGAAGCAACCTAGAACTAAGGAGGAATTTCTTGACAGTTAGAACAATAAAATCAGTGGAAGAATTTTCCTGCAGAAATTGTGAATGCTCCAACACTGGAAGTTTTTAAGAAGAGATTGGATAACCATTTGTCTGAAATGGTATAGGGTTTCCTGCCTCAGCAGGGGTTAGACTAGAAGACCTCCAAGGTCCCTTCCAACTATTCTATTCTGTTCTATTCTATTCTATTCTATTCTATGCTATGCTATGCTATGCTATGCTATGCTATGCTATGCTATGCTATGCTATGCTATGCTATGCTATGCTATGCTATGCTATGCTATGCTATGCTATTCCATTCCATTCCATTCCATTCCATTCCATTCCATTCCATCCCATCCCATCCCATCCCATCCTATCCTATTCTATTCTATCCCATATTTCTATTCTATTCTATTCTATTCTGTTCTGTTCTGTTCTGTTCTGTTCTGTTCTGTTCTATTCTATTCTATTCTTTTTTTTTTTTTTGTAAATATTTTTTATTTATTTTTTCAAATTTAAACATAAAAACATAACTTTCAAGAGCAAAAATCTCGATCCGGTCATAGATGGTTACCACGTTTACATTCCTTTCACAAGCTCAATTCACAATTTCCATTACATCTTTTATAAATAAACAAAAAAAGAAAAAAAAAGAAGATAAAAAAGAAATTCAAAACTTAAGAAAAAACCAATTTTACCTCAAGTTTAACATTTTCATCTATATAAATCTATTATATCTATCCAAAATCAGTTTCAAATGGGTGGAAATTAATCAAGGAGAAAATTAAGCTAGAACTAAGGAAGAATTTCTTGATAGTTAGAACAATAAAATCAGTGGAAGAATTTGCCTGCAGAAGTTGTGAATGCTCCAACACTGGAAGTTTTTAAGAAGAGATTGGATAACCATTTGTCTGAAATGGTATAGGGTTTCCTGCCTCAGCAGGGGTTAAACTAGAAGACCTCCAAGGTCCCTTCCAACTATTCTATTCTATTCTATTCTATTCTATTCTATTCTATTCTATTCTATTCTATTCTATTCCATTCCATTCCATTCCATTCCATCCCATCCCATCCCATCCCATCCCATCCCATCCCATCCCATCCCATCCCTGTTCTATTCTATTCTATTCTATTCTATTCTATTCTATTCTATTCTATTCTATTCTATTCTATTCTATTCTATTCTATTCTATTATTCCAAACTCCCTGCTCAAGCAAGAGACCCTACACCATTTCAACAAATGGCTGTCCAATCTCTTCTTATAAAAACTTCCAATGTTGGTGCACCCAAAACTTCTAAAGGCAAGCCATTCCACCAATTAATTGTTCTAACTGTCAAGAAATTTCTCTTTATTTCTAGGTTGGTGCTCTCCTTGATTAGTTTCCATCCATTGCTTCTTGTTCTGCCTCCAAGTGCTTTGGAGAATACCTTGACTCCCCTCTTCTTCGTAGCAGCTCCTTAGATATTGAACTGCTGTCATGTCATCCTTATTATTCCTTCATTTCATTAAACCAGACATATCCAATTCCTGCAACCGTTTTTTTTTATGTTTTAGCCTCCAGTCCCCTAGTCACTCAACTAAAGCAGGCATTCTAAATTGCAATAACACAAGCATTTACCAAGGATTAATTTCTGCTGTTTTCAAACCACTGATGCTTAAGACTACACATTTGCTTAGATGCACACTTCTGATCCGAAGGTCAGAGGCCCTCACAGAGAGTCAGTGCAAATAGATATTCTCTTGTAGCCTTCCTTCCTAAGATCTTTAGTTGTATGATTCAGACAGCATTAGACACCCAGGTCCCTAACGGGATGCACTGGACAGTGTCCCAATTCTCTTCAACCTGTGTGGAGTCACTCCTCCCAGCAGTCTCTGGTGCTATGCAAATGCAACCAGTGACTCATTCGGCTCCAACCTCTGGTGCTATGCAAATGGGTAACTTGATCCACAGGATGAAGTCCCAGTTCTCTTTAACTTGTGTTGAGCCACTCCTTCCCAGCAAACTCTGGGGCTATGCAAATACAATGCAAATGCAACCAGTCATTTCTACCGTACTGCTGGATCCATTTCTAATGCGGCATCATTTTATCTATGATGGAAATCGAGGAAGAGCTTCGCTAAAATGAACAGTCACTAAAAAGACTGTTGCCTAACTTTTCCAATTTCCTCAAAAGTATTTCTACTTTCCTCAACCAAAATAAAAAACTAATTGGGTGTGGACACCAGAGGTGGCAATATGTTTTATATAATGTGATTATATCCCCCAACACAATTTTTACATAACTTCAATTAGTGCGATGCAGTTTTAAGGAGGTGTAGCATCCTGTGCTACTTTCAGAGTCAATTCTGAACTATTTGTTAAAATAGATTTAAAAGGATGTTGTATCACGAGGAGTCCCGTCCTGGCTCAAACACCCTCCCTCTTCAATAAGGAGAAAACGAGTGTGACATGTGGATTATAATAAATCTGAAGAAAGGATTTTTAACTGCAGAAGATTCTGGAGCTCTCAAGGGAAATCATCAAAATCTTATTCACAGGCCAAATGGTCTTATTCCATAGTTCTACCTAATCAAGCATAGAAAGTCCTCAGAGTTAGGATACAATTAGTCTTAAGATTCTCAGAGTTTTTTTAAGAAAAATATTAAAAGCTTCTGTAGGAGAGACCAGGCTGAGCCTGAAGGAGGGGTCATATGCATCATTAGTCTTGAGTTCCTTTGCACGCACAAGAGATCTAACTCCAACTCAGTTAACTCCATTAACTCTTATCTACCGCTAATTTGCCTTGACCGTTAATAGTTCAGATTCTTGCAGAAAGCTAGCCTAAAATAAACTTGTACTCATTTTGGACCTATTCTTGACTCCCAAGTTCTTGCACTGCTTCCACTTTTTAAGTCAAGAGACATGGGCTTGATTGTTGATGCCCCCTTCAAAATTTCAATCACTTAAGAACCGTTTCACTTTCAGCATTTATAAACCTACTTGAATGTTTTCATGTGGTTGTCCACAATTCGAATGAAGTCTACAAAACAAGCACATGCAAATAACCTCACAGTTCATGCAAAATGCAGAACTCTTTTGTTTTCCTTGGCACAGTCCTAAGGTTACCATAGGACATACTGTGGATTTTCTTCTCAAGCCCTAAGTTCAAGAAGAATATTTGCAGCGTCATGGGGAAGACTTTGGAGAGGAACAAAGAAGGAGGGTTTGTCCAAAGGGAACATTCAATCTGCAGCCCTCGTGATCTAAACTCATTCGTCATTGCTGTCCTGAAATAGCAAATTTTATCACAATAGAATTTTTATTATACATGTTTCCCACAGAACCCTGCAGATATGTTTTTATAAGCTTAGTGAGGATGCTATTCTATGCCCAAATTCAAATCAACAATACAGAGTCGTTTATTGTCTCCACTAAGATGTTTCCTCAACGATCTTCAGTTGGTTCTTCCCTATTCAATCAAGCCAGGAAAAAAATTTCTAAAATTCTTTCTTGGAAAACTGTTTTCCATATTTATCTTGCTGTTCTATCAGCCAGAAAGCCTAATACTCATCTCTTCCAGTTTTGCACATCCTTTCGCCCTTCTCTAAAATTCACAAAACACTTCTTAGGCATCCCATAATATCTTAGAGACTGAAAAGGTTTCAGAGTCTTCAAAAGCATTTCAATATTCAGAACAGAATCAAAATCCAACTATGGCTATGCTAGAAACTCATGAATTATACAGCTTAGTCAAGCGCATGATTTATAAAATACACACCCCAAAAAAGGGACCATCAATTTGGCACCCAGAGATGGTCAAGCCACAATACAAATGTGCCCAATTGTGCAAAAGTCTACCTTTCTCAGACTTTTATGACAGCATTTGCATTCATCAATGTCTTATATTTATCTAAACTAAAGCTATATTTCTGATATTTTTGATTCAATCCAATCTGAAGAAAAAGGTTTTGCTTATTTTTCTATTAGTTTTGCAGATTCCTCTATTATTCCACATGAGACATATCTAACAAACCAGCATTCTGGGTTACGGATCTTTGATTTGCCCAGGTTTAGCTCTTGTAACTAGAGGGAAACTCCCTAAAATTTGGGTTTAAGGTCTCTGTGTGCTTCCTACCGGTATTTACTTACTTTCTTCTACAAGTGCTTTTATGTCACTTTAGCCAAAAAAAAAATAAAAAAAATTGAGCAGTTTAGAAAAGTGTTATATAATAAATTACACAGTACATACAGTCAGTGCTGGGCTGCTGCCAGTTTGGACCAATTCAGATGAACCGGTAGTTGCGACCTGTGGGTGGGCCAGCCAGGCCACCCACCCCAGTACTCTGCCATCCTATTTAGCCGAGTTTTTTAAGCTGTGTGCATGCGTGCAAGCCGCACGAGCGAGCAAAGCACATGCGCGAAAGGCTGCATGCATCCGCGCACTCACATTTCTGGTGTTGGGCGAACCGGGTGTTAATTCATGTGCTGCCCGCCTCTGCATATAGCATGCCGTTAACAAATAATATCATAAAAATCATAAAACCCTAATAACTATAGAAACACGACTGTACCACATACATGAGTGGTATGCACAGCTGGCTGGGGAATTCTGGGAGTTGAAGTCCACACATCTTAAAGTGGCTGAGAAACACTGACCAACATCATCATCCTCTGCGTCCCCCCCTGTCTTTGACAGAATCCCAGCCCAGTAAGATCATTACTTGATGCCTGAAGGGAGCACCCTCTTCCATTCCTCTTATTAGCCTAAAGAAGATGCCGATACCATCTTAGGCCAAGCAATTTGGGACTTCTGATAGACTTACCTCAGTGAGCCTTTGCAGGTGTTCAGCGGCATCGTTTGGTGAAATGAATGCACTTTGATCTGTCCTGCAAAACGGGAAGGGGAGAGAGAGAGAATCACAGACCCTTCAGCCAACCAACATAACTGGAGTGAAACTCCATTAAATGAACCCATTTCTGGATTTTGCTTAGTTTTTTAAAAACAGACATAGGAGACGGAGGGATCCACTCAAAAAAATATCAGAGTGGAATGCTGGGCGATAGAAAATGAAAGTCATTTCCTAAACCTCTTTAATGCATTTACAGTCCTTAAAAGTTTATCGAAATGTATTCACTGTAATTATTCCTTATGTTATTAATCTAATCTTAATAAAGCTCCTACTCTGTAGTAATGTAATATATATAAATGGATGATTGAGGGAGGGAGATGTTTTCTTTAATTAAAAGCAGTAGGCCAATACTTTCCAAAACAAATGCAAGGTTTGCACACATCAATGTTTCAGTGAACACCAAATAAAAACTAAAAATTGCATTTTGGATTAGACGCCTCCACCAGCTAAAATTTGACTATCTGATCTGCTTTGTGATTTCTTAATCCTCATTATCTATCATGAATCATATCTGGCTTGCTTCCATCAGTAAGGGGAAGAAACCTTGGATTAATTAAAGGGAGGCAAGCTTTAACAGGGCAGAAAATGCTGACGTTGAATTCACATTTCTTTTTTCTTAAGGGCCTGTAATTCTCACGTGATCACCCCACTCAGCCACATTTTATCCTCTCTGGCAAAGACTGGAGTCACCACTACAATGCCCTGAGTATGTCTGGTAGGCTAGTTTTCGAATAGTCATAGCCCACATGCTGGCTGGGAATTTTGGGAGCTGAAGTCCATACATCTTCAAGTTACCAAACAGTATGAAAAACACTGGCGTATAACTGTCTGAGGTAGAATAAGCAAATCCCCTTCTAAGCTTCCAGTTTAACAATTTTAAAATCTGCACCTTTGGAAACTCTGTGTCTCTTTTCATGTTTAGCTAATATTTCTGACTTACTGTAACACACCACAGCCCAGACTGTCTATTCTGATAGAAATCAAGATTTCCACCCTCTTCTTCGCTGGCATAGCATTATGCCTGCACACTATTTTCAAAGAAGACTCATTTTTCCCCTTTTCATTCAGAGTTTTTAATATATATTTTTCTCTCAAGCACACAGTATCTCAGGCTCCAATTGTAACAGAGAAATCCATGGAACAGGAGTCCATGTTTCGTTCTTTTCCAGATTTCATATTTTTGTGTGGAAACCTATCAAGAACTTAATACACCACCTCGTCTGATGTCTGTCTGTCTGTCTGTCTATGTATATCATCTATCTATCTATCTATCTATCTATCTATCTATCTATCTATCTATCTATCTATCTATCTATCTATCTATCTATCTATCTAATCTATCTATTGTCTATCTATCTATCATCTATCAACTATCATCTATCTCTCTATCTATCATCTATCTATCTATCATTTATCATCTATCTCTATCTATCATCTATCAACTATCTATCATCCATCATCTATCTATCATCTATCTATATCATCTATCTATCTATCATCTATCAACTATCTATCATCTATCAATCTATCTATCTACAGTATCTATCATCTATCTATCTATCTATGTATCTATCATCTATGTATCTATCATCTATCTATCATCTATCTATCATCTATCATCTATCATCTATCAACTATCTATCATCTATCTATCTATCTATCTATCTATCTATCATCTATCATCTATCTATCTATCTATCTATGTATCTATCATCTATCCATCTATCATCTCTCACTCATCTATCTATCTATCTATCTATCTATCTATCTAATCTATCTATCGTCTATCTATCTATCATCTATCAGCTATCAGCTATCTCTCTATCATCTATCTATCTATCATTTATCATCTATCATCTATCTATGTATCTATCATCTATCATCTATCTATCATCTATCTATATCATCTATCTATCTATCATCTATCAATCTATCTATCTACAGTATCTATCATCTATCTATCTATGTATCTATCATCTATGTATCTATCATCTATCTATCATCTATCATCTATCTACCATCTATCAACTATCTATCATCTATCATCTATCTATCTATCTATCTATCTATCTATCTATCTATCTATCTATCTCTATCGTCTATTCTATCTATCTATCTATCTATCTATCTATCTATCTATCTATCTATCTATCTATCTTGTTCCCAGAAGCCACCCAGACTCATTTATGGAAAAAGGAATACCTGGGTTGAAACTTGAGAGCTGTTTCCTGGTATCTGAGTGTTACGTTCTCAGCATATTCAGTAGCTGATGTCGCTGTTTTCTTCTGACACTCTGAGAGCCAAGACCCTGCATTTCCCATCTCCTATTCAAAGAGGGAGGAGCAAAATAAAACTATATTCGGGTAATTGGGAGCCAGACTGATGTTGACCATCTATTTTAGAAGAGGGGGGGAAATGAAATAGGGAGGGGGAGGAAGAGAAAGAAGACGAAGAGGGAAGTCAAAAATTCATCTTCTGCTGCTTAATACACATAGTCCTCGACTTACAATAATTCATTTAGTGACTGTTTAAAGCTGTAACGGCACTGAAAACAGTGACTTATGACCGGTTTTCACCCAAACGTTGCAGCACTCCTATGGTCACATGGTCAAAATTCAGACTCTTGGCAACTGACTCATATTTATGACGGTTGCAGTGTCCTTGGGTCATGCAACCACCTTTTGTGAATGGGGAAGCCAGATTCACTGAACAACAGTGTTACTAATTTAACAATTATGGCATGAAAAATTGTAAAATGGGGCAAAACTCGCTTAGCAGCCATCTTGCTTAGCAATAGAAATTTTGGGCTCAACTGTAATTCGAGGACTACCTGTACAAATATGAAGATGACAACGTGGCGATAGGGTGTGTGGGACCCTGTCAGTGCACTCTCGCATACAACACGAGAGCTCCTTTTGTTCCTCACCAAGTTCCTCAGAACCTTTGCAGGCATTAGGTAGAAGATTGTTTCTCCAAATTTGCTCAGGTCTTTTTTGAAGCCGTCCACATTATCCATCAAATCAATCAAAAAATCTGACAACATCCTGTCGTTTGGCATTCAGCACTGGAAATTGTTTGTTTTTTCCCCTCCTCTGTCTAACTTAAGATATTTCGGTTCGCCTTGCCTACACACTTGCAAATATCTCTTCGCAGCCATATGGGTGTCACTTTTTTTTTTTTTTTTTTTTGAAATGAAGCCTGAAACTTTGAAGAAAGTACTATATGCTTCTCCCAATATTAAATTCTGGGCTTTTTCTAAGTTTTTTTCTCTCAGAATGCTGTGCTTTAGAAAGAACACTCTTTGCTCCATCTACCTCAAACAGGGGTGTCAAACTCTATTTCATTGAGGGCCACATCAAGGTTGCGATTGACCTTGGGGGGGCAGGGGGCATGGCCAGGTTGATGTCACTCATGTCAAGGGGGCATCTGTGGTGGCCAGAGCCCTCTGCCAGTGAAAATGGGATCCTGAGCTCCATTTTTGGCCATGATGGCCTCCTGCAGCCCTCTGCCAGCAAAAATGGAGCTCTGTTTTCACTGGCAGAGGGCTGCAGGAGGCAGTCACAGCCAAAAACAGAGTTTGGGAGGGCTACGTGTGGCCCTCCCGAGCTCGGTTTTCATTGGCAGAGACACTGCACGCTGCTCCTTCGTTGTTTTCAGGGCAGCCCCATGGGTCAGATCTAAGCACCCCACAGGCCAGATTCAGCCTGCATGCCTTGAGTTTGACACCCCTGACCTAGAACATCTTAACATCAGTTTTAGTGTCAAGGCTAAACTGGAAAAAGCCAAATCCTGCCAGTACACAAGAGATCGTATCACACACCACAGCAGGAAAATTCCCCATTCTTGACTTCTATAAGGCTGCTTCTGACGATAGCTTAAGTTTCAGAGAGATACTGATGGGAGGACAACTGCTGGAAAGGTCAGCTCAGCCCGTAACAGTTGGAAATGGCATTTTGTGTTGCACAGTAGGAAAGGCTAAGAAAGATCAGCTGTCATCAGTCTCTCTCCTTCACTTGGCTAACGAAAAACAACAAGCTCCTTGAATCACAACAGCAACCATTCAACTTTAAGAAGCAAGAAAGGTTTAAAAACTGCTTATGGCCACACTAAGAGCAATAAAAAAACCACAAACAAGCTTGGTACAGAAAGAAATCAGCATCTCATGCATTTTTTTTGCCAAATTGGTTTTCTCAGATACGTCCCACAACTAGCCTTACTAAGAAACTATACATACACACACACACACACAATCAGAATCTCTGCTCAGGATCTTCCACCCAAGAGAAAAACTGCTTCCTACCTACAGAAGAGGCTAAAATGTCCACCCACATACAAGTTAATGTCCAACCTGTCCAGGCCCAAAATGTCTGCAAAGGTCTTGTAGTATTAATGGTTTTTTATTTTATTTTTATTTTTTTAAATATTTTTATTGTACGTTTTCTTCATTTTACATCGCAATTTCAATTTTGCAACAATGATATGTTCGTTGCATCAGCACCTTTTAAATATACATGATGTTATACATCCTAGTTATGAGCATTTTTCTCTTGTTCAAACAATCCATAGGAAAAAGAATAAAAACTTGATATTGACTTGGATTTTTTTTAAAAAAATGTCCCATCTCATCCCAATTGATCTGGAATGTTTGAAGATTACACTGTCTTTATTTTCAGGGTTTGTTTCAGGCTCTTCAGCAGCATTTACTGTACAATGCCCCCTCTCCCACTCACCCCATGCTGGAGGACATCAGCCAATCTTAGAAATAAAAATAAAATCCGGAGGCTTTTCTTTTATTACTGATAAAATTACAGCAAATACCTGCTAGCCAATTACCTGATTTTCTTCACGGGTTTTCCCATTTTCTGTTTTTGGAATGGATGTAGGCTTTCTGGATTTTAAGTTCCCCATGCCAACTCTTAGAGTGCCATCGCAGGGGGTCGGCGTGTCTTGAAACACTGCCTGACTTTCCTCTATGACTACAGATTTGTCTGGGTAGTTTTCCTTGTTTTCATCTCTGGGGGAATAAAAAAAAAATCAATAAAAGCACATCTTAAAAAGCACTCTAAAGAATTTTAAGCCAGTAAAACAGGGAGCAAAATGGTAGTTGCTCAAAGCAACACATCGATCACCAAGCTTATCTGAAAAATACAAATTTCCCTTTTCATTTCTCCTAAACAGACCTTCCCATCAAAATCACCAAGCCAACAATAAAGTTTCTTTATGTACCATCATTTTTTACACAGAGGGTAAGAAATCCACCCACTAATCCCAGACTTCCAGAATTAACTACTACAGCCAACTGATTCAAGTTTGCCAGATAAAAAAAATTCCCCAGAGTTTCCTGTTGTATGTATGTGGTTTTGGAAAACAGTACGATTTCAGGCTGGGCTCCAGGCTGATGATCATCCATCCAATAGCACTATAGCACTTTGTTTTATAAACTGCCCCATGGTGCTTTACAGCACTCTGTGAGTGGTTTACAGAGTCAGCCTATTGCCCCCAACAATCTGGGTCCTCATTTTACCAACCTCGGAAGGACAGAAGGCTGACTCAACCTTGAGCTGGTCAGGATCGAACTCCAAGCTGTGGGTAGAGTTAGCCTGCAATACTGCATTCTAACCACTATGCCATCACAGCTCCACAGCTCCATGCCTTGGGAATGTCATCCCATTCCTGACCTCAGTTGTCAGGTTTCCCTTTGGACAAAATTTCAATCCATTTTGTGTTGGGAAATTGCCGATGAGATAGATAGTGTGTGTGTGTGTGAGAGAGAGAGAGAGAGATGAGACAGACAGGCAGGCAGACAGAGAGATGAGAGAGAGAGAGAGATGAGAGAGAGAGAGAGAGATGAGAGAGAGAGAGAGAGAGAGAGAGAGAGAGAGAGAGAGAGATGAGAGAGTTTATGGAACAGAATTGTTCATGGCTGCATCAAGTTCACAATTCCAGCTATATTTAGAAAAGAAAAGGGTTGTGATATTGTTGGCCCCAAGATGTAGATCAGCCCAAAGAAATATACTTCATATTAAGACTAAAACTACTCCCTTTTTACCATCCTGTAATCCCTTAATTCAAGATAGAGTCGGGGCAACTGGATAGAGTTGAGCTTTTACTGGCCGAATGCCTTGCCTGACGCCATGCAGAGTTCACAATAGATATTTTTTTCTTTGTCTCCTGAGAGAGAAATATCTGCCTAGGACTGAACTCTCAATCTTCTGAGTGAGAGGCAAGTGTCTTCACAACTAGGCCACTCAATATGAAGATTAAAACTACCTTTATTAAAATTGGCTTGATTAACAGAATCTTGCCAGTCTGATTATAGTTTATACTCCCTAATTGGAATTATGGAGGTATTTGAGATATTTTCACATTCTTTTCAAATCTTTCTTCTTTATTTGGACTTAAGAATGCTTTCTTCTTTATTGTTTTGGTAACAGATCTCCCCTTTTAGAAATTGTAGAAAATATTCATAGCTCGGGTTGTAGATTTATGCATCCTCCGAGTTTGCTGCTTGGCTCCCTGACGTTTTGTTACCAGACTAGGTAACATCTTCAATGGGGTCATAGATGTTACCTAGTTTGGTAACGAAACATCCAGGAGCCAGAAGCAACCTCGGAGGATGCATCTCTGCATAGATCTGCCCTTTCTCAATCCTCTAGAGCAGAGGTCTTCAAACTTGGCAGCTTTAAGACTTGTGGACTTCAACTCAGTCAGCTATGCTGGCTGGAGAATTCTGGGAGTTGAAGTCCACAAGTCTTGAAGCTGCCAAGTTTGAAGTCCTCTGCTCTAGAGCTGTGGTGGCGCAGTGGTTAGAATGCAGTACTGCTCACTGCCAGAAGTTCAATCCTTACCAGCTCAAGGTTGACTCAGCTGTCCATCTTTTTGAGGTCAGTAAAATGAGGATCAAAATTGTATGGGGTAATAGGCTGACTCTGTAAACTGCTTAGAGAGGACAGTAAAGCACTGTGAAGCGGTATATAAGTCTAAGTGCTATTGTTCTTACTCTATACTCCATGTCAATAATTCAACAGGACCACTAGAAGTTAACAAAGGATTAGAAATGTATTTCTTTGCTGCCACCTGGAAGTCATCTACCTCCTTACCTCCACTAACTCCAGAATTGACACAATTGCCTTCAATGATTTCTGAGGAAGTTTGTTCTATTGAACTTAGTCCCTACCAAGCCATCATCTATACTGGTTTGCATAAACGTGTTGTGTAAACTCAGTTTGACCCAAACCAAAATAGATAGTCTTGCATACACTGGTTTTTCTTCTTCTTCTTTATGGTTTTTTTTCATAGGCATGTCTTAGCCCTGAATATGTGAATGGTGCTCATCTCAACCTTCTTCAACTCAGCTGTCTCCAGCTTCCTCAAATCTCCTATTTCACAGCCAGCCGTGGTCCAGCTGTAGAGGTTTTGAGAGCTGTAGTCCACCAGGCTGCAGTGGACTATGTCATCCAGCCTTCTCTAATAATTAAACCAGCTGTAGTACAGTGTAACCAATAATCAATCCTCATTTTTAAAATCATCATATGTAAGAACGTGACCCTTGTTCTTTCTCTAAAATCACTTAATAAAAAGGATATGGCCAGAATTTTTTTTTATCTCTCTCTTTCTCTCCACTCCACATATTACACACTCAGTCACTCTGCTTTATTTATCCTTGAAAATTGATATCATTCCTGTTAATTTACATGGCTGCATCCTCTCAGGCGATCTCTGTCTCAGTTCTTGTATTAGATACCACTTAGCAATAGCCTTTTGACTTATATACCGTTTTAAAGTGATTTACAGCCGTCTCTAAATGATTTAAAGAATCAGCATATTGCCCCCAACAATCTGGGTCCTCATTTTACCGACCTCGGAAGGATGAATCATTCGGTCAGAACTGAACTCCTGGCTGTGGGCAGAGTTAGCTTGCAATACTGCATTCTAACCACTGTGCTTTGAGGGTTCCTACAATACAGAAATTGTGATGAGCTAGACACTTGTTCAATTGAAAGGGAGCAACTATGGTACTGTGATGAATCCCTCAGCTTACTGGAATCATGATTTTCTCTTTTAAAAAGCAAAAGTCTTAAACCTTTATTTCCTGACCTTATAGAGCTGTGACGGCAAACCTATGGCACGCGTGGGATGCAGAGCCATCTCTCCAGGCATGCAAGCTGTCACCCAATTCTCTTCCGGTTTCCGGCACACGCATGTGCACCGGTCACCAGGTCTTCAATTTCTGGCACGCATGCATGCGCAAAGACCAGCTGGCTGGTGCACATGTGCGCTCCGGAAACTGTAATATCATCTTCCCGGCGTGCGCATGGCATAGGGTGGCTGCTCTTCCTGTTTCCAGCATGCACATACGCACGCACTCCCGTTTCAGCACTCCGTGCCGGAAAGGTTGGCCAACATTGTTATAGAGCAACTGCCTGGGTTCTCACAATCTCACAGCCAGCTAATCACATGCCCAAACTATTCCTAAATATTTGTGTTGGCAGCAAAGTAATCTTGGAAAGGTTACTACAATTCAGGCTTGCAAATACTCTGGCACACTTGGACAGGAGGAAGCCTCAGCAGGCAGAATATCATTTACTGTAGCTGCGTGACTCTGGAGAGTAAAATAGGTCACCAGTAACCAGAGCAAACTGTCTACTGTCCTTGAAGACATTTTCAGTAAGTTCTCCCCATCTGCTCCTCAGCCCTCCCACATGGAAAGGCTTATTAAATGGATAACTCGATCAGTGAGTAGGAAGTGATTCTCATCATGCCAACTGCACAGTCAGCCATCCAGACTTAAGTGACACATAAACAGGAAGCCACTGCTGGAGCAGGCATGGCGGTACCTGTCCTATACTGACTATTTTGAGACTTTATAATATCATTGACAAGAAGTGGACTTAAATGCCCAATCCTTGTCCAATGCAATATATATTATCATATGCCACCAATACTCCACTGCATTCTGAATAGAAAAACAGAACAGAACATTCCAACAGAGTTGGAAGGAACCTTGGAGGTCTTCTAGTCCAACCCCATGTCCAAGCAAGAGACCCTATACCATCCCAGACAAGTGGCTGACCAGTCTCTTCTTAAAAGCCTGCAGTGATGGAGTCCCCAAAGCCTCTGGGGGCAAGTCATTCCACTGGTTGATTGTTCTCATTGTCAGGACATGTCAGTCCCACCCAGACATGTCACTACCTAAACCACTTTGCCAGTTCTGAGAATTCCTATGGGACTTTTCCTTGAAAATTTCTGGGGATGTTCTTAATTGCCACAAGCATCAGAAGTTTGGGTTTAGCTTTTATTAGAGGTTGTATGGTTAATCTCAGCTATACTTCTACTTATTTTCTTCAAAATTCCATTGCATCTTTTAATGCCCACAACATCCTGTTTTACTTTTTGAAGTTATTCTCATCCTGACCATTCCTTTACTTATGCCCACACTTATTTTCTTTTCACAGTTGCAGGGGGTCTTGAGGTGGGCAGAAAACTAATATCTGGCTATGTATGAACTTTTTCTTAACTGTTTATGGATTTTAACTTGGAGGGCTATTCTGAGCTATAATATTTTTAGATCTTGATCTCAATACAAAAAGAACTTCTTTTCTTTGTCTCTATCCCCTCCTCTTCCTGTTTCTGGAGTTTAAAATGTTTCCCAGAGTCCCCAGTCTTCAAGGAGAACATTTGGTCTCAAGTGTTCCACTTCTCCTTATACTTCAGGAGTGTATCACACACCCATGGTGGAACTCTGGGCACAGTTTGGTCCACTGTCAGTCCTCACCTTCTTCTGTGTGGAAAGGTTAATTCCTGTGATTCAATCTAGGGTAGAACTTCATGGACCCATTAAAAGTGGGTTTGCACCCCTGAAATTTCCAAGTATCTATCGGGCCAGGAATCCCAGCCTCTATCTCTTCTTCTTCTAACTCTGTTGTAAAAGATGTTGCTATATTAGTTTCCCAACCCAGTCAACTATTTTTATTTTATGTACAGCCTCTTGGCAAAGTCAAAGTATGTTTAGTC